CATAGCAGTGAGACACACAGAACTAAAGAGTTTCCCTTCCAGGAATTTTATGCTGTCTGAACAGCTACTAGTTAATACAAGAAGGTTCAGATGAAGATGACATAACTTATTTTGGGCAAGTCAGAAGATGAAATATTTGTCTATCATTTTCACTCTAAAGTTATGTAATCTCAGCGTGTCATCAGCTACTAGGAAGCTGATAATTAAAAAGCACTTTGCAGTGCTTTCTGTTTAATATTCTCTTTTTTCAACTTTACATCTATTGTCTCAACTGGCAAATTCTCCTGCGGACATGTTTCACGGCCAAATTCAATATACATCCGTAACAGTTCCACACAGTAGCTACTGACACAACAAACAAGTGACACCCTCCTTTGTTATTTATGTACCAGCTGTATTAGGGCCCATTACTGGCTTCTCCAGATGAGGAAAGTTTTGCTCTCAAACATCCGTGTACCGTCACTCACCGAGCTGGCACCTTTTTCCAAGGAACAGCACATGCCCAAATTGCAATCAGTATTAATGATCATATACTTTCTCAGGTAAGGAAGCAAGCAGAAAAAGTTGAATTATGTGCAAGTAAAGGGCATGAAGTTATCAGTCATAAAATCTCATAGTTGTCATCAAGAGCCCTTACGCATAATTATGAAAAGCAGATTCACCTGCGCTGGATTAGATGCAGAATTCAACCCCATGCTTTCATTACATTCAGGTACCACACTGACTGAGGCAGACACTGAAATACCATCCTCCTACCCCAGATTAAGCGAGCAAGCGTTCCAAGTTCCCCTCAAATACCCACCACAGATCTCACCTGAAGAAAGGGAGAAGACATCTCATTTAAACAGGCTCACTCATCCTAAAATTAACGATGCAGCGACACAACAGCACTTTGAAATATTAATATATTAATACTTCTGTTGTTATATATTCCACCTAACTCATGAAAGATGTGGGGGGACCCCACTACCCCAGTGTTTGCCTTAGAAAAGCACAAGGTATCTTACGAAGTTGAAGTATTCCGGAAAGTATATATTCTACTTATTTTCTTTATCCTAAAGAGAAGACATTTTGTCTTGTGATATATATTTGCACATGTCTCAGAAAAACGGTCCCTGAAATGCCTTTGATGGAATTGAGGGGAAGAAAGGAAATGCAGGTGGGAGCAGGCAGAACAAACGACTCCAGCTGATGCTGACAGTCTGACAACTTTTCAAGCTTGCTCCATTACAACAGAGAATAAACACAACAACTGGGAGGAAAAATTGAGCTTCCAAACGTCTAATTTCATTCCTGAATTTTCATGATCAGTCTTTTCTCATGACAGCAGTACAACTACTTCAGAAGGGGTCTGGACATAACACACCATAAACTCTTCAGAGATTCAACTGCATGAGGTTACGTTGTCTACAGCAATCAGCATCCTTTTAAAAAAACATTTATTTAAGCTGATACATGCTGTCCATGAGTACATATCCTTTTTTAAGCCTTTGCAGAAATCAACTTCAGCAAAAAATCATAATCCAAGGATACGTAATTTAAGTGTTCACAGTGAGCTAGTCCCATACAAAATACAGCCTTTAAAAACGTGTCCTTAGTTAAACTTGCAAAACTCTGTGTGCAGATTTAGTGTCAGGAATCTCTAGGAAAAAAATGAACATGTAAACAAAGGGAAGGCAGTCAAAGTAATTTCAGCTTCAGCACTGTAAACTCACTTTACTGTCTATTCTGCATCCCCTTTGAACCTTCATGGCATCACTAACTTTTTTTTCTACTGCCTCGCAGAAATGAAGTGCTCAAACTTAAGATTCAATAAATCTCTTCCTAGTACAGAATTACACGGAACATTCAGATATCCCCGTAAAGTCGCTCTACAAGTCACGTGCTGCTCAATGTTTTCTGAAAAGCAGAAAACAGCATTAGATACTAGACATGCAGATACACGTCTCACTGAAAACAAAATGATTCTGGTCTTGCTTCGACAACCATCACTAATATTCCAAAAGGAGAGCTTCCAGAAGCTACCCCTCTTTTCAACCACCTTGTTGTAAAATGTGAAAAGATAACACATGATAGTTTAATTCTAGTTAATTACTGCACAGCCATGTTCTAAAGGCCCGCTTCAGTCAACACAACAGGCCCAAAGATGACTCAAAGACCTCAAAGAGGGCAGAGAAGCGTGGTACCGCTTTTGAAAATTAAGACAGAAGCTAAGTGGTACTACTTATCTTGTCTTCCTCCACTCCATCCAAAGAGCCAAGGGTGGTGAAAATGCAGAAAAGGGGTCAAGTTAAAGGAAGGCAATTTCCCAAGCAAAAAGAAGGGACAGATAAAGGCTGACCTGGACAACTACGTTCTCTCGTACAAATTCTATTTCAGAGCTCTAAGTCATTGGGAAAACAGTTCAGAAATTTTGTATTCTTACCTACTTCTGTGCAATGAGACTTTGTGTTATTTAGTATTCCTTCAATTAGCATGAGCTAACAGACTCATTAAGTGCACAACTGACAGAAAGCAGGGGCACTTGACTCCCATTCACATCAACATTACCCCCAGCTCAGCCCTATTACACTTCCTTTTTAATTCCACCTCTGGACTGCCTTACACCTAAAGTCTTCCTCAGAGCTACCAGTGAAGCCAGTGTTTGAGAACTTTCACAGCAACAAATTTAAGAGAATGTAAGCATTTCCTCCCTACATTACCAGCTTGGAAGCAAGTGGTTTCTGCTGGGTTTTTTAGAGCACGAAAACACCCCTCTGGCACGCCTGTACAAAATTCCAGAAGAAGGAAACAGTTTTGAAATTTATTTTACCTTTCACATTGATACTGAACAGAAGTTTTGTTTGTTTGTTGCTCTGAAAATCAAAAACATAATAAAAGAAATGTGAACAGATACATTCATTTGCTGGATCTCTAATTGCATCCTGGCTAGGAAACCGTATTTAAGTAGCAGAATTCAACTACCAATTCAGAGGTTGTATTTGAACAGGCTCTTCAAATCTTCCTCATTTTTTAGCCTCCAACCTGAATTTGGAATAACGTATGTTTGTTATCCGCTAGTAAAACAATAAAATCTTCCAATTTTTGAAAATGTTCCAAATTTTGCCATTTTGAAAATTTCCGAGGGGAAGTGACAAGTCACATGGGATAACAGAGCACAGGTTTTCTAGGAAAGGAAGCTTGTAACAAACTACAGGGTAAAAAGCACTACCGAAAACAATGGAAAACTATGAAAATTAATAAACTTAAGGATCTAACATTTTAACTGAAAAAATCTGAACATGCCTGCTGGGTATGATTTTCATTAGAAATCTGTAAATTTGCAGAATGCCTCGCTTGCAGACGTGTACTGACTAAACTGCCGAATGCAAACAGAAGATGCTGCTAAAGAAGCCGTTTCCTCTGCTTGTTCTCCTTCTTACAAACGGTCGGCAGAAGGTTCCCCACTCGGATCACGATGGTACTTTTTGCAGGAGGTGGCACCATCACTGAAGCTGCCGCCACGGCCCCTGGAGCAGCAGGGGAGCCCCCCCGGGGCAGCACCAGCACCACCAGCAGAGGTTTCTCCTCCAGCCCGGCGCCCCGCAGGCCGAGGCAGCACAAGGGTACCACCAGCAAGCCCCCACTGGTGCAGCAGCCACCCCACGGGCAGCAAACAAGCAGCCCAGGAGCACCAAAGCGACCGCGTGAGCTCCACCAGCCCCGGGCCACCGGCGGCTCCGCCCGCACGAGCCCAGCCGCCACCAGCAAAACCCACGCGGGCATCGGCACCAGAAGCCAAACCCAAAGGCATCGGCACCAACCCCACCAGGGGCACCCAGAGACACCCGTGAGCACCCCCAGGTGCCAGGCTGACGGCGGGACCCTCGCTCCCAGGGACTTCACCCACCTGGGGGCAGCGCCAGAGCCAGCGGGGGGCCCTGCCACCCCCTGCGCCTCGCCAGCACCGCAGCCCGGGGGAGAGGCGCAAGAGCTCCACAGCCTCATCTCTACAGTTCTGTCCTTGAGGGCACTTGGGTGTGAGCACAAGGGTTTTCCTTCTCTTAGGCAGACTGACCTTATTCACGAGGGTCATGACTAGGACACTGTTGGCATATGCTGTCCTCCAGGGGGTTACAGTGCAGTCACTTAATAACTAGATTGAAATATCAAGTTTCAGTTATATCATTACCCCAGTGGCAGCTTTAAGACTGCAAACACTAACTTAAATAAAACTGGCTTGTTTGGGGGTTTTTCTGTTGTTGGTTTGGTTTGGGGGGATTTTTTTAAGACAGAGAATTGTAACTTATTTAACCCCAAACTGACTAATATTGATCTTGGAATATTATTCCCAAATTCTTCAATACTGCTGCATATTTTACTCATTATTAAGAATCACTGTTTTCCAGAGTAGGGAAGACTTAGAACTTTCAAAATTTTGTTTCATTGGAAAAAAGTCTTTTGTAAAGTTCACACATCGACATCTGCTTTTCTTTTACTTTAGTGCTATTTCCACAGAACTCAATCACCTCCAAAAACACGGTATTGTTGTCACTTCAAACATAATGGTGACACTGAAGCAACATTATGTCCTGACTCTGTACGAAACTTCTAAATACTTGTATTCCTCTTTAAAATGGAATATAGAGATTATTTAAAGAAACGTTATCCCGTGTTTTAGCTTGTTACTCATACTTCAGAAAATGAAGATGCTAAAATCACTAACAGGTTGACAGCGATGTGGTGTAGATGTATTTTACTTGAGACAGTGAAAAATTAATTAAATGTATTTAACATTTTAAGTATTCTTCCACGGATAACTCACATACTCCTGGCTGGAAAAACTACGACAGTTCTGCTTTAGGAAACAACTCAATTAAAAAATACTGTCACCAAAGTTTGACAAATAAGCTATTTTCAGACTCTTGTTTGTTATGAAGTTGGTGTCCCTTTCTTACATACACTTGATACTTTTGATTTGACATGTTTATTTCAGACAGGGAAGGTGAAAGTTTCCTTACCGCCGAGCAATGTAGTAGAAAACAGGATTGCCAGCTTTCGATGTCCCAGCTTGGTAGAAAATATTTAATGTTTTCAGCGCTTTGAACTCCTCTTTTTCATGTACCTGATGCCTAAAAAGCAGTACACAGACGACAACTTTTCACAAGTGCCCTTCAAAAAACCCCCAAACCCTCTTTTATTTGCATCTTTAAGCAAAAATTTTACGTTCATACAATCTTGAATCTTTGTTAAATCACAAAGGTTACTGCCGTCTCCGGATTTCAATTTAAGTTTTGAAATTAAAATTTACTCAGCAACCTAAAATGTATTTGTAGACCCAGATTTTTAAACTTCCCTTCAAAACGGAAGCTGGAGTCTTAATAACTACTTATACTCCTTACATACCAAAGTCTGGAAACCCCCCGAGTGTGTCCCCTCCATCATAACCTCATTACCTGGTCATAAATTCTTCAAATTTGGAACTAGTGAGATTTAAGCTGGACCAATGGGTGTCTGCCACGGGTTTGTGCTCAGGAGGACCCAGATAGGCAAGGAGAGTAGCCATCTTGTCAAAAGGTCGTCTTCCAACAGCCTTGTGGTCCCTAGAAACAGCGTATTACTTAAAAGTCCTTCTTTACTCAGCAATCCCAGGGGTCTTTGCCCGCTACCCTTCCTTACCTTGAACACGCTGCATTTCTTTTTTTTTAAATTAAAAAAACGTTCAGTGAAGAAATAAGAGAAATGTTTGCTACCCGCACAGTTTCCAAAAGCTAAAACAACTATACACTTGCACAGAAGGCTGGCAGTGAAGCAGGCAGCAAAGACGCTCGGCAGGTTCCCAAGAATGGCTTCTCAATAAGACAAAAGTTCCAAACGTAAGATCATTCAGCCTTGATATTCTTCTCAGCAATAACAACAAAGCATCTGAAATTGTTTCCAAATACTCATTTCCCATCAGCAAGTCCCTTCTTTATAATATTTCGGAAGTCTTACCTGTTGCTGGAAAGGTACTGGCCAATCTTCTCCTGGTTGTTCCAGAGCAACCGGTGCAAAGCGAGAACGTTGCCATCGCTGATGAAGGACAGGCTGTGATTGACAGTGTCACTAGCTGGGCAATCAGACGCAATATCAAGGAAAAACCTAGAGTCCAAAACCAGTAATAACCGTCAGCGCGGGAGGGCAATCTGCCGAGGGGACTCAATGTAAGTTAAAGGCGGTAAGAACATTCTCCGCTTACTCTTCACACGACACAGACTCTGTGCAAGTTTCCAAAGGGCCTACCTTCGTGCTGCATCAAAATTGCTTTTTACAAAATCATTAAAAGGCCGCATATGTTCTTCTTTTGTAAACAGGACGTGGTTGGCAATACTCTGAAGTATCTGAATTATAAAAAGATGGTAAAGACACATAAAGGTTTAATGTATTAACTGCTATGGTAGTCAGCGTAACTTCCCCAACAGAAATATTTTGTTGTGAAGCCTCAAGACAAAAAATGGCCAATAAGCCAATTAACTCCAAGTATGTTCACTTTCAAAATACTTCCTTCCACATACTTTTAAACACTAGAAAATGACTTCTCTTATTTGTGAAGTTTTTTTAGGATTTAGACCAGGAAAATAAATCAGCTTTCAAAACCACAACTTATTAAATGTTAACTATTTCTCCTGGAAATTACAGCCATGGAGAAGCAATAGTCTATGCATATGTGAAGAAAACTATAATTTCTCAGCATTTAAAAGGGATAATACGCACAGGTCACAGAATTTGTATGCCGTTGTTAAACTTGTTACATTTTTATAGGAAATAATATCAAATGAGATTAAAGATAGGGGAAAAAAAAATCCCTTCTTTAGTGATAGTATGAACTTAGTGTCTGGCTGCCATTAGTCCCACTATGCTCAAAGTAGCATCGGTTTCTTTGATTGGCTGCAGGTAAGGTTAGAAGTTCAAGTGAAGAGCCAAAAGGCATTCTGCTATCTTATACATTATTCTGGCAGGTTTTTTTTCCATCCAGATTTCCCCATACTTACACTGCTGTGAGCTATAACATTAACACCACGATGTATAAACACAGCATGGAGACTGCATTTTAAATAAACATGAGTGTTGCTACAAAAAAAAAACAAGTTTACCTAAACTTTCTCATATTAGTCAAAGAACAGAACTAAATCAGGTAGAAGACGAAAACATTTACTGATTCACCTTTGACATCAGTTTCAATCCCCTTTCAATTCTTGGCGGAGGCTTTTTATCTAAAATCCCTGCCTCGTAAGGGGAGACAATCGCGGGGTTGATGAACCGAAGGAACATCGCGCTCCCGACGGCGCCAATGCTGTTCTGAGGAAACCGCTGACTAACCACCTACGAAGTTGAGAATTATAAAGAATATTTTTGCATTAAAGGAAAGGGAAAGCGAGCCTTGCATGGTAATCCAACTTTAAGCATTCTTTCCATACGAATCAAGCTCAATACATCTGAGTAGGAGTCTCTCGCCTTGACGGGACAAGCAGGAATGGGAGGGACCCCAGGAAGGGGCGAGGGGGCGCTCAGGCACTGCCTGGCTTTACTTCGGCCTTGGTACAAACTTTCAGGCCAAGGTGACGTTGCTACAAGAGCTACTGGACAAAGGTAAGGCGGCTTATTTCAGATGTACTGACCACTTAATTCCAGGACCCTGCCACTGACAGTAAAGCGGACAAATGCCATATGTCTGTACCCAGGTGTGCACAGTCTTCCCATCAAATACAGATAACTCTGTTTAAATTAATGGGTCTTCTATTTGTGTATTTAAAATTTCACTATTGATCAAAAGAGCCTCTCCAGCACTAAGACTTAAGCTGTAAAGTTTCAGGAGTAATTTTAAATTTGTGGGAAGGAACTATTTGTAGAAATACTCTTCAGAACCATCACATCTCAACAGGTTTGCCGAAGGATGAAAACCAGAATGAGCCAGAGCTGAGTGGCCAGCGTACTTCTCTGCCTGTACATACACCGTCCAAGATCAATTAGCAGGAATTTGCTCTAAGAACCTCAGGTTTAAAATACTGTTCTCTGCTATCTAAGAAAAAAAAGAAAATTCTGAATATGTAAGAAAGAAGAAATCTTTCTTTTTAGGAAATGTATTACTAAGGGGATAGTCTATTCTCTAGCTATCTTTCATTTGACTTTGAAAACTTAAAAATAAAGCTCCCTGACAAAAATAGAACTCTTCAATATGCTACAAGTGATTCTATAAAGATTCAGTACTTATGTGTATTTTCTTATGAGTAACAATGGTTAACCAAAACAAGTCAGATTCTACCTTTTCACAGGACAAATTAGCAAGCTTTGTATTTTAAGTTATGTTGATTAAAATAAAAAACAAACCCCATTTTACTAAAATACTTCAAAACTTAACTACTGCAATCTCAAATCGTGTCTCCTCAAACAGATAAAGCATTAGTCCATACACAGTATATCAAGAATCACTTTTGGTTCAGTAGCAACATCATTCGGTTTCCTTGTGATGCAATTACTGATGTTTTCTTGTAAAATACTAGTTTGCACACAGATTTTGCATTTAAACATGATTATTATTGTGCTCAGTTACAGCAAAAAATAAGGGAGTATTTAATAAAAGTCTAAATTTCCAGTCTGCCTCTGGTTTATTCATACTTTATATTTTGAGGTCACTGTCAAAGAAAAGGGTCTTAACTTTTAATGACACCACTTCATCACAATCTATCTATCTAAACTAGCACAGGTTACTTAAAATGGGAAATTGCTTTTCTCAGTAAATAAAGTGCTAAATTTTATTGCTTAGTCACAAGGCAAACAAAAGAAAATATATCAGAAACGAATCATATAAGCCTCTTTTCAGTAACTCATATATATTAATTGTTCTTCTCCCAGGATGCAAACTGAAGTCAAGTCATCAGCCAGAGTGTTAAAACAGCTAAACAGACTCAGATTTTCCCCAAAACCAAAGGAAACATTTTTCTTCCGCATTTTTTTTTTAATTTGAAGATGGTGGCAAGGGTAGAAGAATCAGAGCATTACATACTAAGCAGTAATGTTAAAAATGTCTTTTGTTTACTCAAATAGGCACACAGAGAATATTTTAAATATAACTTAATTCCAGTGTTAATTGAAATGAAAGCTATTTTGTGCCAGAATTAGTAGAATGATTTTACAGTGAGGTCAAATAGACTGAAGTGAAGATGTTTTGAACAAACAGCAAAAGATTTCTGTTGTGCTTCGAAAGAAATGGCTAATAAAAAGGTCTCCAAACTTACTGATTTTTTGTTTTCCTTTTTTTCTTTTACGGTAGCTTTATTCAGTAGAGAGTGGCAAGTTGCCTACAGAACAGAGATGAGCACAAACAAGTCACAGCACCAACTACATACAGCAACAAAAAAACCAATGTTGACTTGTACATAAATTACACAGTAAAATGCAACAAACATAACCAACGGAAAATGAAATATATAAACTAAAGACTGATGATGGAGTTTTTATTCCACAACTTTATTACAACTTATTTACAAAGCACTAAATACAAAACAAGCAAATGTTGCGTTTCAATCATTTCTACTATTTCTGGCTAGATTAAAAGTCAAACCGCATTAATGTGCTCATGGTACACAGTATTGGGCGTTGAATGGTATATTCAGCTTTCAAATGTATTTCACCATCCCCAAATAATTTTAATAGTAAAAATAGTAAAGTGTTATACCTTTGAAACACATATTACTTTTAAAATAAATTTAGAGTTTTAAATCTTCCCAATGTTTCTCTGTGTGTCCTTCAATTTAGTGAGATCTGTGAATCACCATGGTTATTACTACTCTGAGAGCTAAACACTGCCATAAAACACTCTGTGGAAAAAGGAAAGGGAAAAAAAAAAAAGGCAGTGGGTCTATGTGAATTTATTACAGATTTCCAAGTCAAAACATCTGACTTGATTGTGCTTATTTCTGCACTTCATTTATAGGCAGAGGGACCCACCAAGAGGCACCAGGTCCTCTCCCGTCTCCCGCGGGGGTGTGAGCGGAGGCGCAGAGGCGGCTCCCGGGGCTCGCTCCCGCGGCCTCCCGTCCCCTGGAACCCCAAACTCCCGTCCCCGAGAAGCCCTACAGCCGCGCCCGGGAAAGCTGGCAGCGCTTGGCAGTCTGAGAGCAAGCGTGCCCCCACAGTTCAAACAGTCTTTAGGGTGTCACACAAACTGGGATGGAGGAGAATTTCTGCAACTTAAGAACGGGAGAAGAGTAAAAAGGAAAAAAAAAAAACAAACAAACCCAAAAGCCACTCCGCTAACCAAGCTAAACTGAAATAGTTCAAATCTCTGCAAGCCCTGCTGATATTTAACCCGTGGTGCCTCTGCCAAATCTCTGACTTTGTGCAAGTTCCACAGTCAGCTTCTGGAGCAGCCACAGACGTACTCCATGCATCAGGCTGCTGCACGGAAGGCAAGTAAAAGTTCCAGCTCTCTCTAGGAAAATCACACACGTTTGTGTAGTTTTTACGAAACAGCCAGCACAAATTATTCGTACGAGTGACTTTGATTAGGCTTGTTGGTGACCATGTAACACTCCTGAACATACGTTACCCGAAAACCAGCAAGGGAGAATCTGTCCCAGTAACAGAAACACCTGCCAGAGCAGAGCCCAGCGTCCAACTAAATACACCACTTCGTTATGTTGCTACATTGATTAAAAACAGCTAGAAATCATTTACCGAACGCACCCGATGAGTATCTTTTGCACACCCGCTCAGTTTAAGCACAAAAAGACGCTGCAAAATTCAGTCTCATGTACGCTACTGCTTGGGATGGAACACATTCACCTTTGTGAATAATGAAGTTACCTTACAAAAATCACCTGCTTGGTTCTTATGATAAAAATGCAATAATACCCCCCAAAATTCAGATTTTAATTGTACTTTCTTTCAGATAAAGACCAGACTCTTCAAAACACTCTGGAATTTGAAAGCACAGAATAACGACACCATTTGTGATGAACAAACATTTGTACACAAATACAGGTGTTGCTAGGAAGAGTCAAAAGTATTAAACGTTGATGCGGAGTATCAGTTAAAACGCCTTGAACATTTTGCCAGTAAATCATCTCTTTCAGAAAAAAACTACTCGTTACCAAAAAAAAAAAAAAGACAAGAATAAAGCAAATAGCCTTGATACGCTTCCATAGAAGCATCTCTGACAATGCCCACTGGTGAGTACATTTTAGTAATTCCCTTTCACATAGGAATTAAAAAGGCTTTGCACAGAAATAATTTCTAGCAGTGTGTCACTGAACTGCAAATAAATCTGATACATCCTAGTAGCGGCATATAAAAGCAATTGTAGGAGAAGATGTGGGACTCTAACGTCAAATACTGGAAGCAACAACCCAGGTTGTGTGTGACGTTTTCAGTAACACCCAAATACACTCCCAGTCAGTGTTGGTGAGACTGTGGCCCTGTGAACTTGAAAACCAACTTGGCCCCCTCGGTTCCCAATTTAAAATAAAAAAAACAAGCCAGAAAAAAAAAAAACCACCAAACCACCTCGCACCAACCTGAATACAACCACTGTCAGAAAGAGAAGCCGATGACTTCAGAAGCTGTTTACACAAGCTGGTGTAGCAGAAACAAAGGCACACATTTGCATGGCTAATTCAGGGCAACGGCCCAAGATCCACCCACCACACAACTCACTGTTTCTCACTTCAGGTTCTGAGGACGGAAGCACCTGCATTTATTCATACAGCATTCACTGTAAAAATACAACTAGACCACACTGCGTAGGATTTTTTATTACTGATAATTAGTTTCCACAGCTCAGAAAAATCTATTCTCTTTGCTTTACCTCAGACCTGAGCTACCGACTCCACAGCTGAGGGGCCAGGAGTAGCTCGTCCACACCGCCTAACCGAGACCACAGCTCCAGCGCTCCGCCGAGCCCCGCTCCTGCGGCAGTCCCCCAGCAGGACTGGAAAGGGTATTTCTGTGAGCCCCGAGCCCACTGGAATTTTTAGCAGGAGCCAAATCCCCCAGAAGCACACAAAGACCCGCAAGCACCCTGGGCTCAGCAGCCTGCTGGCGGGAACCGCCACAGCGGAACTTACTCCGCGGGGGAGAGCAGCACCGGGGAAGGCTCCTCCTCTTAAACATCTTTTGTAAATGGTACCAGAACCAAGCAGGAAGAGTGTGGTCCCAGCCCGGGAGCTTCCTCAGGCTTGTGTGACAGCACTAAAGCTTTAGCCACGAACAAAAGTCAGTCTCTGTAATTTGCCTCATTAGCAGAACTCAATCAATCTGTCTCTTCCAGGTTCTCTTCCTCCTAGTCACCTGCAGAATTTCTGAATAGTCTGTTTGCAAAGCGTTTGGTCAGCTGCTTAACCAAAGCACAGCAGCCCTGTTTTACATCACAGACCGAACCATACTCCTGCTGTCGTTCTACCTCAGGAGCACGGAGCACCTGCAGCACCCCAGCTACAGGGCTGACGTGATTTACCAACTCCCGTGGCAGCGGGTCTCCTTCCCGACACACGCTAAGGGCTTCCTTACAGCTCCCACTCCTCTGCCGGAACACGATCACGAGAGAGGACAGAGCGGGATCAGAATAAAGCCTGAATGATGCAGGGTCATGACCTCACCCACAAATGATCTTTAGGAAAGCACCCTTAAACACAAACGACTCTACAGCATACAGCCAGCAGCATTTTGTACATCTATGGCCTTCCATTATACTCAGTTTATACCCAGTTTCTAAAATTCAGGACTCGTAACTCCTGTGGTCCTGCTAAACATCATACAGGTTTTTTCTTACGAGCATCTTACACCCTTTTTAACCTGCTTTTCTATCAAAGGCAGAAAGTGCCCACCTGTAAAGGACAACTAAATAATATTCCTGGAGTAATGACTCAAATAATACATTTCATTAAAAATTACTGTAAAAATTTACTTGAGAGAAATCTCTTGAAGAAATTGCCTCTATTTTTATGCAGAGAAGAACAGTCTAGAGTCAGTAACTGCACAAGTAGCTATTTTATACACAAAGTTAAGGTTTATTAAAGGCATGATCCGTAACACCTTTAGATAATTAACTTTATTTCTGATTTAATTGATCCTGTATAAAAAGTGAAGCAGCACACTGTTTCTATATTTGAAACAGTTTTGTATTCTCTCAACCCAGCAGTGATTTTTTTTTTCCCCTTTTGCTGCCTTCCCTATAAATGGCCCACAATTAACTGATAAAAGCAAGTATAACCATTATCTCCCTGGTTAACCTTTCGTATCCCATAGAGATGCTGAAGAAGAGGTTATTGTTGCCTTACTAGGTCTGAGTTCTTAGCTGTGATTCAACTCCTTAAAAAAAATAATGTTTAGTCACCTCCTGATTGTCAACTCAAATCTTAAAACACCATTTAGATTCCTGTTACTTAGCAAACGTCTGAAAACAGCCTTTAAGAAATGCCCACTATGCACCCACTACCGAACCAAGCTCCAAACTACTAGAATTATAAAAACAAAACCCAAAGTTTAGGGGCAGGCAACCATTGCAGGCATACCTGGTATAAACAATGGCACACACTGCGAAGTTGTGGTGGGAACTCCGAAGAAGAATTAATGATTGCATGAAAAAATTTTTCTGTCATTTGCAAGAGACTCCGCTGGTTCTCTTCAAGGCTTTCTGTAGGCTCCAGCCTGAAACAAACCCACAAGTGTATGACCAGCAATCAGATAAACCATACTAGCTGTACTTAGATGGCTGGTAGCAACCTTATTTCCCACGGTGAACAGAAATCTTAGAGAAATATTTATGATCTTTTACACGAAAGTTTCCATCCATATTTTAAACCACGTAAGTTAGAACCGCAAGGTCATTTAAAACTCAGTGGTAAGCAGAGAGCTGTAAGCTGGATTCTCTCACACCATCCCATACAGACACATGCATACGTAATTCCAGCTGACAACTGGTTTGACAAAGGTTTCTCTGAAAGGTTCTTGAGGTAGACACAGGTATTCCAGAGTTAAGCAAGCCCTATCTTTTGGTAAGCTACTTAAAAGTTTTTCTAAGAGTTAGAGATAATTCAAAGCAACAGCTACTAAATCCAAGTCTTGAAGAGAAATTAAAGCAAAGACGTTAAACACAGCATGCACACATTCCATCTTGCTTCTGTAATTAATTCAGTGACCTAAAGCAGACGCTTTCTGGTATCGCTGGAAATCCCCACATTAGAGGCCTACATAAAAGCATGAAGTAGAAGAGGCGCTGCAAGAGCTCTCTGTCTTCCTTACTCTCTCAGGGCTTGGACATGCAGCCAAGCTCATCTCGCTGTGCTGGACAGCTCTGTACAACTCTCCCTGGGTGTAAGGGCTGCAGATACGGTTAATGTGTCTGGTAAAGTGAGGAGTGGAGAAGTTTGAAAATATGAGAAAAATACTTGTAACAAGGAAAAAAGGAATCCTATTATATTTACAGTGACTGGGAATCGCGTTTACAAATAAAACATTTGCTCCCCCCCTGGAATCTCAAACCTTGTTGGATCCACCTCAAAGCTAACATGCTGCCATTCAGGGGATGTGATCACAGTCCTTAACAAAGGTTCCAAAAGCTTCTGCAAATACGTAGCACCATATACCTGTGTAGAAATAAAATCAGAATAGGGGCCAGATTAACAATGCCACTCACAGGAACACTCCAAAATTCTGTAAGTGTTAAAGGAGCCTGAAAACACTTGCTTTGTTTTGGCATAAGCCAGATTTCTGTTAAATCAGTGTTTCTATATTTAGTCTCACTTCTGAAACAGAGATGTGATCAATCTCTACAAGTATTTTAATTTGTTTCCAATTTAGAGAAAACTATCGATCACTTTAATAACCACAATAACCCTACGGGATTCTTTCTTAGAGCACACTGACTCCACAAGTCAGCTGTGCTTGTACACAACTTTAACCGAAATAGAAGCATTAAACAAGATCTCGGACTTTGTGTCCCATCTTTAAATTGCCTGTTACAAAAAGAACGGCAGGAACAGTCTTCAAGCTGGTACTGGCCCCAGAATCCCTCATATAACTGAAGTAGTCGGAAGTTTAAAGACCCCTGCCATGTCTGAAGATTACTTAGGAAAAGACTTTAAGGTAACTAAAACAAACCTTTAGCTGTTCGTAGCAATTATGTTTTCTAAATAACTAGTAAACTTTCTTGAAATCTACAACTCTTGCAACACTGTTGTTACTGTGACCAGTTTTCTTCTTTACAAGACGAATATACAACGCAGAATATAGAGACGAGGCATTAATTGCCTTGGAAACTTTCAAGAGGGACTAACTGCAAGCTTAAGTCTAACTGGTTAAGTCACAAAGTCTTGGCACAAGGTTAGTTCGAGGAGGATTTGTATTTCTTAGCTGGGCCTGAGCATAAGAGATCTACAAGATCTAGGTCATCAAACATTAAAAGCAAGACACCCTAAACTTGACAGATGTGAGAGCTGGGTCTGGGTTTAAGTTAGTCTCAAAGGCAACTCTGTACTACTGCCATCTACTCCACTTACTCAAGTGCTTAACACCTCAGACTGGTAAATTTGTATTTTTGTATTACTAAACTTTTCCCGTTACTGATCTGTAGCAGAAAGATTAGATAATATACCTTAAAACAGAAAGTCATTATTTTACTGGCTAAGCTGTTTCCTCGGAAGAGCGTCTGCATGGAATCTGCAAGTTCAACTTCCTTTGAAAACATATTCCAGAGTAGCTGGTAGAGCAAGTGCCGGGAATCAAAGAGCGTGACCAGGACACGAGCTAGCTCATCCTTAAAGGAAGCAATGAAATGTTAATCTGACTAGCAGTGAGCCAGAACAAGCATCAAAAAAAAGAATTATGAAAAAAACGCAATGGAGTTTCTAGCGAGGCTTGACATTTGTTATGGAGTCTTGCATATAAACATCAAATTAAGCATACACCAATCTCCCTTTAAATCTTTCCTCTGCTACTGCTTGTCCAAAAGTCTGCCCCATGATATCCAGGCATAGAAATTCATAATGGTTAGTCTAGAGATAAGCAGTGATTCTGCCGTATAACAAAGCCCAATTCATCTCGCTAAAATCTAGAGGAGCAAATACAATTCTGTTTGTCTGCATTACAGCACACACAATCTGCAATAAATAACCAGCCCAAACAGATGCATTTATTACAGTAACTATATATAAAATTACTCCTAGACATGAGCTAAAGATTTACTATAAAAATGCAGTTTATAATCACGATCTCTGACAATTATTCAGGACGCTTTTCAAGAATATACTAAATAAGGCTAGTTATCATGAACAGTAGGTCTAATCTCTCTTTAGCAGACTGCTGTTACACCCTTAATGTTTGCACTAATTCTTATTTCAAGTCTTAATATTTGGAAAAATGTAGGAAATAAAAATGCATGAATCAACTTACCCACTGAGAACAAGGCACCACATTGGCTAAAGCCATAGCAATAGGAAGCTCCCCCTGATCACCCATCATTGTAACCAACTCCACCAATCTCTCAAACCGATCTGCTAGCACTGTTTCTGCTAACGTATCAAATTCTGTTCCCTGCTGCAGAATTTTGGTGAGGACTTCCATAAACGTAGCTCTTGTTTGGAGGTCTTTATGATAGCCCAAGCCTGATTAAAAAAACCCAGAACTACTAAGGAAGATGTAAAAATAAAATAAATACCAATGTCTTCATTACGTATTCATTTATGCACAGTTATCTCTAACTACTTTACCTATTGAGTGCATAAGGCCGCTGTCCACATTTGCATTGAGTAAGTTTGACATAGCCAGAACAGTGCAGTGCCGCAGCGACGCCAGCCTGCGGGACATTCCACGCTTCCTGCCACCTGTTTGGGAGCTTTCATCTTCAACTTCACTACAGTCGTTTAGAAGGTTCATAAACAAAGTGAAATATCTGAAGAAAAAGAGAAAGACTGGGGTAAGTAAAGCAGATTCTGCAGAAGCAGCTGCAGTAGCCTCCCAAAAAACTCTCCTAACTGCCCCAAGTAATTTTTCTTGCAGCATAGTCCAAGCTTCCAAATGTGTTGTTAACAACCAGAAGGCACTGTCCTAAAATTCATATGCAAATGTTCCCAAACCCAGAAAGTGAATTTCACAGGTGTGCCTTTACAGATGTCTCAAAAAAGATTTTTAAGTTTCATGGATAAAAATATAACACCAAAGCAAGCCAATCCCTCTCGTGAATTAAGCAGACATCTGCATGAAGCAGAAACGAAGCCAAATTTTATTGTTATTTTGTAAACGAAAATGTTTCCATAAACTTGGGAGGCAGAGATTTGTGAAATGGGATATATAAGAGGTAATTCCTGTTCAGATGATAAAATTATTTCTGCTAGAAGAAAAACCAGTTTATAATAAAAGTCATATGGTCCATCTCCTTAAGAGTCATTGTACAGAAAAATAGATAAAAGTCACTATTTACTTAAGAAATAACTGAGATTTCGCTTCCATCAATTCAACACCATCTCCTTCTTCAGGCTGTAGTGGAAGCCCAGCAAGAAGAGAGACCACTGCTTCCATACTTGCTTGGTCCAAATCTCTGAAAAATAAAATTTTCAGCAGCTGTGAATCAGTTCAGCAGAATTAGTCTCTCCTTCCACTTGATAATTCCCCCACCTGGTACCAAGTCCCTTTTCCTTACCTATCTACCTGCAGGTGAAAAGAATCTTTAAAAAAAAAATCCAGTTATTCTAGTAAAGTTCTGTCCATGGGGAAAATAGCTGTCGCATTTTGTGGCACAGGTTCAAGCACTGTATCCCCTAAGGACAACTGCAAACCAGATTTGTCACTAAAAACACCAGTTAAGTATAAATTCAACACTATAATGTTTGATGATTTTATTATTCAGAATGCTCTAGCAAATAAAACTTTCAAACCTAATGCTAAATCAGAAAAGGTATTAACACGAGTTAAATAAACTTGGTAGATTTAAAAAAAAACAAATAAAACCAAACACCCACACCTCAAGGGCCATGTTAATTAAGATTATGCATTAAATATAATTTTGTTGCTGCTCACCAAAATTTAAGTTTCAATTTTTGTCTTTTCCTTAAAACGACTAACACCAGAGGAAATCCACCTGAGCCAGCTCATCTGTGGGTATCAAATGGCACCTGGAACACTGTTAGCATCTTTAGAAACAGTGTAAGCATAATCGTTCTTACCTTGTCAAGCATTTCACATCCTCGTCTGTTGCTTGATTAGATGTTCCCATCACCCAGTCTGTCAGATATTCCACCATTTTGTTCCTGTTACATATAAATACATGGCTTTAGCTTTGCGGGTTGGTTGGTTTTTTTTTGCTTGGTTGGTTTTTTTAACTAGCCCTTCCCTCAAACACACTTACTACCATTTTGGCATCATTCTTAATTATTACAAATCCAGTGTAAGAACTATTTGAACCCCCACACACTGAAGATGACTGAACCAATTATACCAATTAACATCCCAGTCTGTACCACACACAAGACTTTTACATGTGTTCAGTATCCCCGCAATCAAAATGAAATCTGAATGCAGTACCAGGTTCTAAATTATTCAGAAGACAAAGACAGGGGCACCACCCCTATACCAGAAGTAACAGTGTGAGGCAGGTTTAGATTTATTTTTTTAAACATATAACCAAACAAAATTACACTTGTCCACATTTCACTACCCTAAAAGTTATATAATGCAACACTTACCTAAATTTCATTTCTTGGCAGAATGAAAGATCATCTCTCCTTTCCATCATTACTTCTACTAACTGACAGAGCTTAGTTTTTATTTGAATTGCATGGACCAAATTTCCAAGGACACGCACATACCTGAAGAAGCAAAAAGATTAATACAATACTTCATGCTACTTCATACTACAAGGCCCACACATCTGACAGACCTCTTCAGCTCTGTGCTGGAACCTACACGCTGGCAGACGACTTGCACAACGGGTTACAGCAAGTGGTTGTCCTGGGCTACCTTTTTTTTCCCCACCCCAAGTAAGCCAGCCCCTGTGTCAGCTGAAGACCAGTACCAAATTTCTGGCCAAAGAAGTTTTCTATTAGTATCAAACTGAACAGAAGCCCACCCCTCAGGTGGTTTTTAACCACTGACACCACTGGATGGAAAAGAAACCAGGAATGCTTGCAAGAACAGGCCAAGCTATGGAATGGTTCGTTCTTTAAAAAAAATAGTCATCGGTACTTTAGGCTGCAGTATAAATGACCTCCATGATTACTGAAGTTGTCAGAACCATAAGGAGGAGGATCAGAAAATCAGTTGCTGCTTCTCCATGGATGCAAGCAAAGATATAAACTAGAAGGCTCCACCTCGCTTTTTAAACAAATTACTTTGCATAGGAAGGTCAAACAGATTTCTTACCTAACCAGATTCAGCATCATCGTCTCAATACTGGCTTGTCCAAGATGTTCAGAGCTCCCCTCTGTATGATTGTCAAGCAAATTCTTCATTATAGCAATGGTTTGCTCTACAAATTGTGTGTTGGTCTCAGTTAACAAAACCTACAGGAAGAAAATTGCTGGCCTTAATTCTTTACAAACAAAACTATAAAAAAAAAAAAAAAGAAGGGGCAGTTGTCAAATACAGTGCAGCATTTCAAAAATCATTTTGACAAGCATTTTTCTAGTTATCGCCTAGCCAAAGAATTCCAATATACATCAAGATTAAATCTGTCAATACGACCAGGCATAACGATTCTGAGACCATTCGCACAGATTCTGTACTCAGAGTTCACTACGAATTCAAGACTGTTTTCAATTACCTGATGTTAAATATAGCCTGGAATCACAAATACAGTAATTATTAATTCATGCTGCAAAATACGATCACAATGCTTGCAGGGTTTTTTGTACAAAACACAAAAAGATATCAGTTTCAATTACCTACGTGAAAGACAAGACAGCTGCTTTTAATGAAGACACAAATGTGAAGGAATATGTCGACACTTTACCTGTCCTTGAGAATCAAAAAACTTGCTGATGGTATTCTTCAATTTGTTAAACAGCATTGGATAAAGTGCTGGACTCAGCTCCAACCCCACCAGATCTTTAATGTTAGTCCGTATCTGAAGCCCCACCTTCTCATGGTTACAGACCATCAGAGTCAATAATCGATCAATGAATTTGCTGACAGGAGTCTCCGCGTTGCCCTCGGTGGACACCATGGATATCATGGAGCCCTTGCGCTCGCTGACGGGGCCCATGGGGGGGCTGTAGGTTGCCAACCCTGCGTTGCTGCGATGCTGCAGGCACACTCCCCCGAGGGCACACAAGAACCCCGTCATGTTGATCCACTCCTGCAGAGAATCTGTGTCAGACAAGTCTATGGAGCCTCCCCCACTGACGTGTGACATTCGCCTCTTAACAATTGTCTTATGGAGGCTTTCAGTAACCTGGAAAAGAATGGCTCGGGATGAAATCTCTTCAATTAAACATAACTAACGGAGAGAACAGCATTTCAAAGCATTCCGTAAGACAGCCTGCCATTTACAATTTCAGTCTCAAGAAAGAATTTTCTAAGGTTCACCTCTCACAGTCTATTGTGACAGACTGAACAGAAATCTGTGCAGAGGCACTGCCTGGAGAGAAGTGGAAAAAGCAAGGCTAGAAAGGACTGTCACCTAGTCAAGCCCCTGCTCTGCACTGGGGGGCAAAGCATATTTAAACCATGACAGTCAGCAGCTTGTTTCAAAACTTGCAGTGAAAGGGATTTCATCATTTCTCTAGTAGTAGAGTTTCCAGTACTCTTTTTTTTCCAATTTATTTTTAAGCTCAGCCTCCATCTCTCAGAGCAATTTAAGTCAAACTACTCCTTGGTCTCTTAGTAAGCGTGGTGGACAACTGGTCACCAATATTTTTCTGGAATACTTTCATGAAGCTTAAGTCTGTCTACAACACTAATTTTCCAGATTAAAATTCAGTTCCTTAAAATAAATAAGCTTAAATATTTGTTTTGAATTTCAAAGGGTTGAACCTATGCAAAAATTCATAGTCACCTGCCCATCTTCCATTTTGGTCTTTGGATAGTTAAGGATTAGCTTTGTAGCTTGTTCCCATTTCGCATGTGTATCCTCCCAGGCCTAAAATAAGACATATCAAGATTTAACTTCAAAACCACTTGTAGCAACAGTATTTTCCGTTTAAAACAAAAAACATGCATGCAAAGCACATATAAATTCCTAAGAGAGTTTACCTCTGTGTTGCCTGCAGTTGGATGTTCAATGCGTCTTAACAACGCCATCACTCTCTTCTGAAGAGCTGCTCTCCCTGCGAAGGAGCACAGAACATTTAACCAAGTTTTCTGAAAGCCCACCTGTATCAAAGACGAGATCTTTGAAAGTAATTATTAAATTAACAGAGGAACGTATCCCCCTAAAGCGTTTAGAAAAGGATTCTTCTTGTTACACTTTAAGATCCTCATGAACTCAGCCACCCAAATTCCCTCTCTTGCTAGCAATTCCAATGATTAAGACATTTCAGTGAAAGCAGGAACAGCAATCAAATCAAGAATCTCAACCTGTTCAAAGAACTCAAACCCAAATAACAGTCTTACTAGACAGGTAGAAATGTGGTTTTACACATTCGTGATTCTTACCCGTTGACATCATATTGCTAACAGATGCAAACTCCATGAATGTATTGTAGTTTGGCAAAAAATTATGCACTGAGACTTCATCTACTCCACATCGGATATCCGCTTCCTCGCAGAGGTGACGGAAACAGGACATGGCAACGAGGACTGCCTCGATATCCGGGCTCCACAGGAACATGTACAAGGCGACTTCCAATTTTGTCTGGGCTTGGCGACAAATGGGCGTTCCGCTGCATCCCGCTGTGCTTTCCTTGGGAAACAGAGAATTCAGAATTTGGTAATATTGCTTATGGATAGGGCAATTTGATTAGAATTTAGGAAGAATCTTATTGATACCTGAAAAGTGTAAATTAAAAATTAAAAAGTTTTGGCTCATAAAAGATGTTCTAAATATCCTAATTTTTCTCCTGCAGCTAGAACTAGTAGCACGACTAGGCTCCTGAAACTTGTCTGTCAAAGGATATAACTTACTAAAATGCTTGGTTTTATGATCCTTCATGGTACATTCATACTTCAAAAGTGAGATTTCAGATTTATTAACAATAGACTACTGCGTAGTGGTGCTACGTGCAATCCTAAGGAAGAAAACACTAAATTTTAACCTGAAAAACATGGGATTTCTTTAAAGTCTGAAACTTCACTATTAACCAGCACATTATGAAGGATACAGATGCCTTTTCCTCCTCAGAAATAATTAATTTTTAAAAATTGCCCGCAACATGATTTTATTTCTACTTGCACACAGGTTTTTCTTACCAAGTATTAACAAGAATTATTATCACCTATTACTTACCATGGAAGAATTCCCTTTCCCTTTCCTGAGGGTAGCTCCTGGAGCACAGCGTATCATCTCTTCATGGTCAAGAGAAATCTGACTAGTGCCACCCCCAGAGACGTCATAAAGGAAGAGCAAGTGGCAGGAACTCCTATCTGATTGCTATAAAGAGAGTGAAGAAAAACAACAGATCAACTTATTTTTTAAAAAAGGTTAAAAAGGATAGGTTTCAGGAAGGTAAAAAGCTCTTCCAACATTTACGCAGTACGTTTCACATGAAGTTACCCGTATTAATGGTATCTTAGAATGGTATTTCCCCTTAAATCACCTGGCAAGTCATCCTCAAAAAACATCACCCTGAGGTAAGCACCAACGGATGCCGTTCCTCCCCTCCCTGGAGCCTCCTGAACGCCCTACAGGCTTCTTGGTTTATCCAAGAGAATACATACTAGTATATATAATTAGAATGTAGATGTAATCAAGTCTAAAGAAGCCAAGCTCAGAAGTACTGTACATTTTATCCTTTACATTTTATACTTGATCAGAAAAGCAGGAACTGAGATTGTGAAGCAGAGCTCTAATAACAATGGGTTTTCTGATCCTGATATTAATGAAGATCCTCTAAGCACCAAGAGGAAACAGATTTAAAAAAAAAAACTAATTACTTCTTAACTGGATTGAGAGTACTAAGCACATTCTCTATTTGAAGGACAGCTGATTTCCACTTAGATGCCAAATGTAAAAGTCTCCCTGAATTCACAGAAAGCCAGAATGCCTAAGGTCTTCAGCTGCAATACGTGAGACTGAATTTTACAAATATATATTGAACTGGAAAAAGCCTATTACTCAGCATCACCAGAGACAAAAAGTCATGTCCATCAGTAATGGAGTTACCAGAGTGGGAAAGAGAAGAAAAGAAAGAAGTCATTTAAAGGTAAAAATCCTCTTGCTGAAAGAGGACTTTTTAAGTATGCTATAAACTACACATCAGACAGTATCCTTGCCATGTTAGCACAGCTACTTTAGGTCAGACATGAAGAACAGAAACCCTTTAGTTTTTCTAGTATATCTTTAATTCAAAAAGTAATATAGCAAGTCTGGCTTTAATTCTAGCAAGTATAGCATTACAACATGGGTTTGGCTTGGAGAAAGTCTCCTGAGATTATGGGAAAGAAACAAGTCAGAATTCTAGGACTCACATGAACATGAGATCCAAAAAGACATTTTTATTTCATCCATGAAGAAGTATACTTTATCATAACTAACTTTCCCTTTTTCGCAGCTTGTGGACTATTTCTCTGTGTATTAGGCAAATAGGTATCAGGCACCAGGTTTCTGCAAAACATGTATTTTCCAGGCAAGCATAAAAAAAAAAAAAAAAAAAGAAAAATCCCAAACTTAACTTCGACTCTAATCAAGGGTGCCTCACGAAGCACCATCTCTCAGCAGAGAGGACATAAGAAATCAGAAAGTATAGGTATAGCTATCAAATCTCTTCCAATCATAAAAATCACCTGTTAAATAAAGGGAGTGACAAAACAGAGAGCAATTCCTCTTAATGATCCCAACGGGTAGATGTCAACATTTACTTACTTTGTTTTTCAGAAGAAATTTATTCCTGCAGATGAGAATCTCTCGCAGCCACTTGAGGATTTCTGTACTGCTGAGCATCTGATGGCTAGTTAGTTTCTTGCAGATATAAAAAAGCATTTGTGAACTGCAGCAAAACGAAACTCAGCGTTAGCTTTCTAATCTAGTGACAACGTTTTTGAAGATATTACTAGATTTTTTACATAGAAATAGGCAATTAGCACGAATATCCTATACATATACTAGCATCATCTTTTAAAAAGTATTAAGTGTACTTTAAGTGAGAAGCTCCCCTCTGACCCTTCCCACCGCCCGGCTGGCCTTTGCAGTTCCCTAGAGGAAGTGAAGCGGTTCGGGTACTTGTTAGAAGTCCAGACTCCAGGGCTGGCGGTTCAGCAGTCCTCCATTTATCCACACAACAGGTACAGCACAGACAGTGGCAGTACAAGTTTACCTACACTGCTCTGACAACGTGTCTCAACTCTGTTCTGGAAGGAACACATCTAGGGATGTTCCTTCTTCATATCCATTCAGGCCTCACACTCTCTGTTAAAACTGCCAAAGGGTCCAAATTAGTGTCAATTTTAATGGGTTTTTCCCCCAGCCCGAACAGACCACAAACTCATTTCCACTATTAGAAATTACAGTAATGAGTTTTTATTGCCCAGCTAGGTAGGGCTCAGCCCCAGACCTATCCCATAGCAAGCCCCTCGAGCCACGGTCAGCAGTCATGCAGGCCAATTCGTGGATGCTCTAAGAATGCTCCTCCTAGACTGCTGCTCCCTTTCTTCTAAAACATCAGTACCAACTCACATTAGATCACCACATTTATTTTTTTTTTAATTATTTAGCTCGTGCGATTATTAGAATTCTGAGTTTACAGAGTCTTGTTTCTTGGTTCAGCACTTTGTGTAATTTTGAATTTTCTGGAACTTAATTTCCCTTTATGTTCTCCACCACAGCTGCTGTGAAGTTATAAAAAGCAAGATATCTTTATGATATCTTTAATGAATTAAATTTCTTTGAATACACAGGTCAGGGCAAACTACAGCCTTCATTACGAGAGGGCTTCAGAATCAAGATTGGCAATTCCACACTTGTAGAATTGCTTAGCATTTCCCTCCCTCAGCCCCAAAAGGATAAAATAGAATTTAAACAAGTAGTAAACATGTGAATGAGGGGGAAAAGTCCCTAACTTTTCAAACTAATGGTCATTTCTGCACCTTAACATCAGGTTGAAAAGTCTTTAAGAAAGCCAGCAAAATGTTTCTTATTATATTTTTGTTAAGTTCGTATCACATAAGGAAGACGTAACTTTTCTATGAACACGCATAATTTTGACTGCAGATTGATGTCGATGTCGCACACTTTTCCCAAAACATTCACATCTATTTCAAAAGAGGAGACAAAGCAACACAGCTATTCCTCTAATTTACAGAAGTGCGTTTACATACCTTATTTCCCAGAATGTTTCTATAGGTGCATCAGGGTTCCACAAGTCAATGCTGTCTAACTGGTGAAGAACTAGCAAGGCCTGAATTCAAAACACAGCAGAGTTTCACTTAAAGGCAGAACCTGACAAAGTACATCAGCACAGGCACAGACACAGGTGCAATCATGTATCAATTACGTTGTTTGAAACACAACAAAAGATATAAAAAGCAATTTCTACAGAAGAATAAAGAGTTCACTGATAGTCCCTGCCAAAAGTATTACATTTCAGTCTTTATTATACATACTTATAATGCAAACCTAGAGGTTTTACCTTGTATTTCCATACAAATTCATGCAAGACACACAGACACAATGTTTTTAAAAGACAGGTTTTGGCTTTAATATTTACTAAAAAAAAAAAAAAAAAAAGCGCGCAACCAATCCTATGGATGTAAACTTCTAGTGGCAGTAACAAAATTTCTGTAGCTCAAGCTCTTGTCAAGTCAAGACAGGCAAAGAACTTGACAGTTTGTCTTTGTTACACAAGCAAAACCTTAGATAAGAGATAAGAGGCTCTGACCATATCCAAGAGAATACCGCTGAACTATGACCAAAAACTTTTAATTTCTGCTTTTGATTTAGTCAGATTAACTACAAAAATCTCAAAACCCAACTACTTATAAATTAGTTGAAGACAGTTTTCAGAAGAAATCATATCTGATAAAAACTGAACTGGTCAAAGTCTATAAATAAAAAGAAAATTATTGAAGTTGTTTATCCTTAATTGTATCAAGCAACTATAGCAAACAAAACCTCTCCTCTTATGTCAACTATTATTTGGGGCTGTCTGATATGCAGGCAATCAAATTTTTACTTTGGTGAAAATACAAGTTGAAGACAAATCTGGAAGGTCTTAGGTATTTTTTCTGACAAATTTTTTTTAAAAAGTTTGCTGCAAAGGGATTGTTGGAATACTGTTAAAATGGAATTTAAAAAAACCCTGCAACCCACAGTGTTCTCCAACAACATTTAAGTAGTTATTTCAAACTGTTTCCTAGCTTAAACAAATATTCCAGAAATTATTTACTAACCAACTAGTCAAAAAACAGAGATGAGAGGCCTGTCCTCAGCTACTTAAACCAATAATCAGGTACATTAGGGATCAAGATCAATAAAGAATCAAGACTGAACAGTACACCAAAAGTAAATCACACAATGGCCAAAACTCTTCAATCTAAGTTCCTGTAAATGACTGTAAAGATTTTACTACCCAACATAAATTTGTCAGAGATTTTTAGTGAGCAGGATTATTCTTATACAATATTCTTGAATTCTACCATTAGACTATCAAGAAATACGTACTACACACCTTGACAGGCTGTAGTATATTGGCACTGTTTGTAGCAGTTCTTGTTGAGGCAAGGTTTGACGAAAAAGCCTTAGTTTACCTACTAAAATTCAACTATCTAGGTAAAGCTTTAATAGCATATAGGTATAGTTAATCCTCTTCTCAGTCTACCTGTGAAGACCTAAACCACGGAGGATGTCAATGGCGCACACGCACTCTTGCACTGTTTAGAATGGGAATCCGAAGATGCAGGATAATATAACTGGCACCACAGATGAAAAAAATACTACGACTTTTCAGCTCGGTTACGCACAGAGAAGCGGCTGAAGCCTGCTTTCGTTTGCATGAAGTGCTCTGGGACCTGTCACAGTGTCAAACATACGAATGTGACAACCCAACCGCCAAAGTCTCCGAATCGGCAACTTTGCACAGAAGGGCACAGACCAGAAGTAGCTCTGGTGAGCTGTTAGCTCCTTCAGTCAAAGCTGGCGGGAAGATTTCAACAGCCTTAAAGTATCTCACCCATCCCTCCTGCACACACAACCTCCGACTCACAGCAGGCCACGGGACCAGCCACGGCGTCAGGCTTTTTTCTCCAAGGCATTCAGAGAACACAAGAGAGAGGCCAAGCTTAACGGTGCCCTCCGCAAGGATGGAACGGAGGAACTGTCCAACTGTGTCTGATCAGCAAACCACATGAAGAGGCGCAGGGCAGCCACAAGGAGAGGCATGAATTGCTTTTTCAAATTTTCTGATAGACCTCTCCTGTAAAACTTTCAGCGCAGGAGACGTTTAGAAAAAGATCAATAGAACCCAAACTCTTAAACCACAGAACTTCATAGCTAATTGATCCTTCAGAGCTTCTGCAAAAGTCTGGACCTGTCTGTGTAAGAACGACTTGGCACAGAGAACATTTACCCCTCACCTCCATGGCTTCTTGTGCTATATCCGGCATGCTAGACTGCGGGACGAGCTGGACAAGGCCTGTAATCAACTCCGCCGTGCTACCTTGGGTCTCAGGCCCTTGCTTCCTTGGATTCTGCACAGCAAAAAGGAAAGCAAGGTTAAGCTGTCAAACTTTTCAATGACTGACCACGTTACTGACCACTACAGCAGCATTGCTGCAATGATGCTAGGTGGATTTCTGGATCTTTAAGAGGCTCCCTCAGGTTTTTTTCAGCTATGGTGCCCCTTGATTTTTGTATCTTCGACATAATGGAAATATTTTTAACTTAAACAATAAAAAGACCTGAGAAAATGGAAGATCTAAGACCGCATCTGTCTTTCTACTCATTGAATGATGACTAATTTCCCCCCTCTCCTTATTTTAATTGTCATCTTGTTCCACTCCCCTCTCCCCACTCCTGCCTGAAAGCACAGAAGCATTATAACCAGAGAAAAGAACGAGCAGGGAAGTGTCCTAGGTGCCAGGTTTATGTTTTTAATTTTTACTCATTTCATAGCTTCAGAAGTAAATTTTCCTACGAATGAATTACTACAATATACTTACACACAGCAAAAGCTTTGGATCAGCATGGATCAGTTTTACCAAGGACAACAGCAAGAACTTGTAGCTTCTGGTTTCCAAGTCAGTAGGTTTTTCTTTAAATTTAAGGCTTGTCATTTTCTCCTTAAACGTAAGACTCTGAGAGAACGAAAAATCACAGTCATTGTCAGTAAGATAGTCTACACCGTAGTTATAATTAAACATTTTATGAAGGGTATTGCTTTTATAATCTATAATTCATTAAAAATTTTAGAAGTAAAATTCACTCAAGTATGGTCACATAGCTTTTACCTAAAGATCCCCTTCTACATATGCATATGCTACCAGTTGATTAGATCTTTAAAGTTTCCTTAAGAATTGTTTTACGAGCTGCATGTGGACGCAAGAAAAGCTTTTGTGTAAGACAAACTGTGGCAAAAGAAAAATGGATAAAAAGACCAAAAAGGATTTTCTCTGGTCCGAGAAAGAAATAAAAACAAATGTTTCCAAGTAAGCTTGAATACGTGAGAGCGTAGGGAGCTTTTTTCCAAAGACAAAATATTCTCTTTATTTTCTGCCATAATGACAGTCTGGATGATAGCAAGTTCATCTCCACAACCTCTGAAAAATGAAGCTTTCCGTTTCCGCAAGGTACACAGTGCATTGCTTAGATAAAAAATCCCTTGCTTCATCTGAAAAAATCAGTGAATTACTTCTGCAGCAGTCAACTTCCTTACGTGCAATGGAGAACCTTTCAAGGTATGTACTGAGAGGTCACATAAGGTATTCTGACTTGACTCCAGGGTGAACTGGATCATATTCTACCCTTGATGTTCACACAACAGACTCCAGACAGGAATCCCACCACCCCATTTAACAAATCACAGAGCGCTGGCCGCGAGACGCGTGTGCGTGGATGCTGCGGCTTGTAAGGGTTTCAAAAACTGGGTTTAGGCCTCAATCCAGCAGTGTGCACAACCCTTCCAAGTGAACCACCCCGCTCGATGGCAACCAACTTCATCTCAACAAAAATAATTTGGGTGCACACTAAAGTCTGTGAAAACTAATCTATGTGTGTATGTGTGTGTGTGTGTGTGTGTATATACACTCACACATCTATAAATAAATACATTTTTAAAAGATGAACTTGAGTTAATTGGTCCCCAGTATGTACAAAGGACAAAAGATTTTCATTTTTCTCCAGAAGTTTACAGAATTTATATTTTCATTAATTTAAATTTTATATCAGCAGAGATTAAATTAGTATTTTGCTTACAGCTACCAAAATAGTTACGATACAGTAACTTGGACAAAAAAATTGCCCCTGTGGATATTCAACACAAGACAATGCAACGCTCTTTAGAAACTCAGCTTTTTAACTCTTTTGTCTAGTTTATGATTTGCAAAGATCTCAAATAGTAACATGAACTTGGTTTTCGTTTTCACTAACTTGTAAGTTTTGAACAAAAAACCCCAAACCCTAGCTTGAGAGCATCCTCACGGTAACTGAAGGGGAGATACGATATTGTATAATTAAGTTCTACAAGGAATTAGAGCTCATGCCCTTTTGCTAAACAGTTACTGTGAATATATACAGAATGAGATCTCCCACGTAAATGCATCCAATCAAGACACTGATACCACACTGGCAGAGGTAAACTAATTCTGTGCTAAACCTTAGCTTGCCACAGTTAAGGGAATTCTGAGAAGAGGCACATGGCAAAAGCAGCTGATTTGTTTCTGTGAAGCAACTGATTTACTTCACACAATCAAAACTAAAGACTATCAATAAACAAAGACAGGGACATGACTGCTCCCTGCAAATACACCGAGGGGATAAACACGGGTTTGAAGCTAACAGACAACACGGGAACAAGAACGGATGGGGATAACTAAGACGTAAATAAGTTTAGGCTGGAAATTAGAAAACAGTTCTAACCACCAGAGAGGGGAGACTCGTTGTGGTGGAAAAGTAGGAGCAGAAAGAACAGGACAGAACCAACAAAAAGCCTTTCCTTCTGGGAGGGAGCTCAAGTGCCTGTGAAAGGGGTGGCCTTGGAGCTGCCCCGAGCAGCGCTGAAGAGGCTCCTCCAGCCCGGCGTGCTTACACCAAACAGGCCAGCACCTTCCCTACCCCGGGGCAACCAGGTGACTGCACTGGTAACTATGCACAGAAAAGTCGGAGCAAGGAAAGGCTTTTCTGCGGTAGTTACGATGGGTCATACTTACAGCAACAGAGGCCCACTGCCATGCAAAACAGTGACTGGTTGGCATCTGACCATGTGAGCGACAGCAGCCAATAAGAACGGAAAATAAGAAGCAGAAGACAAAGCACCACCAATCAGAGTTGCCGTTACAAAACCCTGCTATCTTCTCAACAGATGAATACATACATGTAAAGAGCAAGTTAAACATGTTGTAGCTTTCAACTAAAGGTATTGTGATCGTTTGCTTTCATCTGAGAAGCCCAACAGGAATATTTTCATGTATCATTTTAGGCCTTCTAGAACAACCAACCAAGTTCACTTGACACATCAAAAGTCCTAAACAGAAAGTTCAGAAGAAAGGCTACACAGCTGCATGTGAATTTACTAAAAAAATTGGGATGAACTACAAATTGGAATTTACTTGAGACTTTTTCAAGTCAACCAAGAATATTGACTTTATTTCATAATGCTTGAAAAATCTTTTACTTTGTTGCTGTCACCAAGACCAAACAGTCAACTTGCTTGACAGAAAGCAAGACAAATGAAGAGCTACTCATGGTAAAAGCACTGTAGTTTTCAAAAATTATCTTCACATACAGAAAGCTTTTGGTTTTCAGATTAAACAAGACCGGACGTATTACCTAGCGATTCACATAGCAAGAAAGCTTAAAACGAACAGTTAGCCACAGAGAAGAGTTAGAGAAGAAATACTTCTACGTTGCCAGTTTAAAAGCAGCATGAAAACTGAGAAACGTACATCGCTGACTCAAAACAGTCAATGCACCAAAACCTGCAAGGTTTACAGAGCAAGTATGGCTCTCTGTTGCTTTTTGGATTGCAATGTTCTTCCCCCCTCTAGTTTCCAGTCTAAAGTTAAGGAATAAAGAAGCTGGAATGGAATGGAGACACAGGCAGAAGAGGTCTGGGCTCCGCGAGGTGCCGCGCTCTCACCGGGGTCATGCGGATGGGGGGGTGCGCCCCGCAGCCCTGCACTGCCCTGTGCAGCGTCTCGCTGAACATGCTGCGCAGCTCCACGGAGTGGCAGTACACCGCGTCGATCCGGGGCCACCAGTCCAGCGCCGACTAGAACCAACACACAGAAACGCTCAAGTGTTCAACCGGCAACAGAGGAGGCAGATTACCATTTCTTTTAGACCTCCACAAGTTACGAAACCTGCAGCAGAACTAACCGTTCCACGGGAGCGTTTTACACAGCGTTACTGATACGTTCATTCTGCATTCTCACCATAAAACCCGTGGTATTTCAACGACCTGTGACAGAAGCAATACTTCCAACTTAGCTGCTTGTTACATTTCTTCCTGAACAAGCACAAACTCTGGGACCATAAATGCTGGAAACCATGGTAGATTTCAGGATATCGCACACTAGTAAATAATACCTCAAACCAATGTGCACTCAATCCTTTGTGATGCACTAAACAAAATGGGAAATTGGCATTTTAAGTGCCTGATAATATCTGAAAAGCTGTATTAATCCACCACAGATACGCCACCACATCTGCAGGAGCATTTTCTTCCGTTTGTCAAAGTGCTTAACACCTTTTTTTTAACAGAGTGTTTTCATTACAATCCTGGGATAAACGAAATAGAAGCTGTTACGTAAATTAAGTAAGGCTGGATGCTCAACACTGATTCTATTTTCATACTGACCAGGAAAGTACTTCTGAACAGTATAAAAATTGAAGTAATATTTTAGTGACTTCAAGTACAATGACAAATTGAAGATGTACAACTGCACAAACTTTCAAAATATTTTTGGCAGTCGACATTTACTACAATTTTACACTATTTAAACTCATACTGGATCAAATCCCTGAGCAAAACCATGAGGCCAGCTCTTCCCCTAAGTTCCCTTGTCAATATAGCAGAAGTAGCAGGAGGTGCTGTAATGACACGTGCCCTGGGAGTGTTTTCCATACATCACTAAAGAACCACCTATCACAAAACCAGAGAACTAAAGATTCGTTTGTCATCCTATATTAGAGGGCGTTAAAACATATTTGTACTGAAATTCTATCCTGGAATACAAGCTCTCAAACTAGGAATCCAACTGCTGGGCAGCGTGAACAAATAAATATCTGTATGTCCTTCCTTATCAGCAAGCAACTCTTGCTGCATGGATAAGGGCAACAGCATTTGGTCTACTACTCAAATTGTATTTAATAAGCAGGCATTGACCTGACTAGAAGCCACAGATTGCTGGGCTGATTGAATACTTTCAGAACTTACATTTGTGATTATTCGGTGGAGCGAGTTTACCAGTACATAATGAAATGTTGATGGGGAATTCTGTGCCAAGCAGATCTACAATAAAAATACATAAAAGTCACTTAGGAATATCTTCATCTTTGCCATCTTTCTTATCACGCTGAATAACATACTGGAGCCTTTTTATTAAATTGACAAAGCTGTCAAATCTACAAGAGAAGGTCTAATCAGCTGAGAAAAGATTTGTAAAAACATGCAGGGATTTATTACTAAGGGATACTTATACAGTTGAACTTATTTATGAGCTTCCAGCTGCTGTTAGCAGATCTTTTATCGCTGACAGGTCATCAATAGTATGTGGAGAATGACTTACCCATAAGCAGTGTTCTCACCTTGAAGTGTTGGTTATTATGAGGGTTTATGCGGAAGCAGGAAACCAAGCAGTCAATCATAAGGTCTACATCTGCATTCTGATTGCCTCTTGAAAAAGGTTTGCTTGGATTAAACAGCAAATTCTAGATATTAAAAAAAAATATATAATCAGACACCAAGATTATTCTTGTCTACTTTTAATGCAAAACTTTCCACTGAAAAACAGTACGGTATTCAGTTAAGGAGAAATTAAAAGTTATTTCAGTATTTTAAAATGCACATTTCTTCACTGCAAGTAGGAAACAGACATTTTTACCTTAAGATCTACTACCATGGACTGCACAAGTAGGAAGATGACCGAATTATCTTCCCAGTTGATGTAGGTAGATGCTTTGCACAGTTTAACACAAGCAATAGCAGCACTTTCAGTCAGCTGTCTGCTCCCACTGTGGCCTGCAAGCGCTTTCCTGAGATTGTCCAGGAACAGTTTCTGCAGAATTCAAACGAGGAATAGTTATGACCAAAGCTTTGGTAATCTGTGGTCAGGGTTTTTAGATCCTTAAACACTGAAAACAAACAACACAAGGGTGGATATTGTGACTGCAGAAGGCAACCTGATGCAGCATTCTGGAGAAACGTTATGTTTATTAAAGATACTCGCTTGGAGCGATCTAGGGCAATCGGAATGGCACAAAGGGAGATGGTTGTTTACTCTTAACCGTAATGTTTGCAGCCACATTAAATTCACCATCTGGTAGAGGTACTGCAGTTCTGGAACACAGAGAGCACACGCCGCAGCAACCTCAACGCTTACAGGCCAGCTAGAAGCAATGCTACGTTTGCTACTGGTGGAGGCAGGGGATTCACAACACTGGGATTCAAATCTCCAAGGAGATGTAAAAGTTCTGAAATAACATTGTTTGGGATATACTATCTGTATGAATTACTGACAGTGAAAGAACATATGTTAGGTGAGAACTTAAAAAGGGCGCATAATTTTACATATGGAACTGTAATGTGCTTTTTAGGCAGGAAAGACAGAATAAAATATACTTGAAATACAGAACAAGCAAAACCAATCATCCTCTAGAAATCAGAAGCAGAATTCAGATACTCTTCTTCTCTTACCTTGTTCATTTTAGTTTCCTCTACCACATCCTTTGCTATATCTTGGATTATCTCTGGACACAGGACCAGGAGTATGATTTGCAGTGGCCAAACTGCTGCTTTACGTTTTGTGCTTTCAGCAAAGCCATCCACTAAGTCAAACAACTTCTCCGCACAATCTGCATAAAATATAACCCCACGTTCAATACCAATTTTATTTATCAAAAGGTAAAAAACAGGTATGACAGAGCAGAGGGATAGCTCCACCTACACAAAGAAAAGTTCTGCTTTGCACATTGCTGGCATGCTATTGGGGGTAAAACGGTCTCAACTCAGCTAAAGACTCGGTTTACCTGAAAATATAAATTTTTCCTCTCTTTTTGACTAGAGACAAATATAGGTGATGTTCTCTTTTAAGTTTTTTTTCTTGTATCGAGATGAAAAAAAATATATTTAAAGAGTTTCTGCCTTCTGGGTTTTATTTCTTTGTGTTGTGAACCACAGAATGAATCTCTTTAAAAGGTGAGTCAGGAGAGAAAAGAGACAGCAATATATCCCTGCCTGCCCCGAGAAAGGTTGACAGAAATCTGTTTCTCATTTGCAGGCTGCAGAAGCAGCAAAGAGGGCACAGAATGCAAGTGAACGTGGGGATGTCTGAGAAACCACGTTCCGAACGCTGTCATTTGTTTTGTCTTACCAGCCATATCAGTCTGTGGCGTTTGATACAGCTTTGTGAATTCATCAGGATAGTTTTCCACCCAGTTCCAAAATGCCTGCAGAGAATGCAAAACATATTTACATTCGACAGCTTAAAAATGCTTTTTCTGAATGATGTTATTTAAAGGAAGAGAGATTTTACTCTTATTTCTAATCACATGACACTTCTGGCAAAGCATACATGCATCAAAAGGATGCATCGACTTATATTTTACAGTAAATTAGTGAATGGCAACTATTCCTAAATTAGAGAAAGTCTTCAAATAAGCAACGGAACAGAACATAAATATTAAAATACTCACCTTTTCAAGACTGTTGATAACAGCTAACTGAGCTACTTTCTTAAGGGCTTTAAACTTGAATACAGTCTCTGTAAACAGAAAACATTTCTGCATTTAGAGAAGAAACTTGGTTCTATAAAGCAACACAGATTATAGAAGACATTTGAAGTGCAAAGCAATTTAAACCAATGTCTTTATGCTACTTAAATATTTGGTAAATATAAATATATATTTAATTTTGGTAAATATATGACTACACAGTCAAACACACCAAAAACCCCCCATCTGTGTATCAATACCCTTGTGTCATCCCTAACTAGTCATATCCAGATACAAATATTTCAAAACACAGGCTCAAATCATACCTTGCAAGAGTCGTTTTAGTTTTGCACAATCCACACTGATGTACTGTAAAAGTTCAATATCATGAACATCAGCATTATCTTCTGAACAAACAGTCAGTTCCTGTAATCTAAAAATATGCAAAGTAAACTGACTTCTCAGTCAGATGATGTCAGATAGGCACGAACACACACCTATGGTTCTAGACATTTGGACAGCAGGGGACGATCACATAATCTCCTCATATAACACCATCTCCTCAGATAAACTTTGCCAGGTTTAGAAGGGAAAGATGGATCTTGCGTGATTAAAAGTTAATATTATAGTCTTATTCCATCCTCACACTGAAAATGGATCCAGAAATACCAGTGATGAGTCTTACGAGATGCCAATACCATCTGGTGATAGTCTGTTTATGCCCCAGATTTGCCTAAATCCTTCTGTTATATATCGTACTGTAGCAGTAATCTTGTCATCTTTTCAGCTGAATACTAAATTCATGGAATCATGACACTTTTAGACTACTGTTCCTTAACAACAAGTCTTGCCCCAGCTGATTTCTCAAGAGTGAAGCAGGGACTTAATATGGCTGAAGGGAGCGACAACCGCTCTTTGTGAGCTAACGAAGGTCCATGGCTGTCTGGCCTAAACAAACAGGACGAAGTTTATTTAATCAAACCAGTTTAAACACAACGGCATCTTTTCACACTTGTGTATTAGATGATTTACTAAACATCTCATCAGATACTAAGCCACTAATAACTAAATCACATGTTATCACAAACTGAAGATTGCCATGGCTTGTTCCAAAGTTACAGCTGCGTTTGAGAGATGGAATGTGATTTCTAGTACTACACACAAAAGCAGTTCTTCATTTCTTCAACGCCAGGGAAACTTAACAGCCCTCGCTGGGAATGGGAAGGTCCCCACTGCTGTGCTTTTCATGCCAAAAATCCCCCAGCTGCTGTACAAGGCCTAGAAATATGCCTAAACAGGAAGCACGGGTCAAAAGATCAGCAATGCTAACTGTCGGCAGGCTGACCCCTGTGGGGATCAGCAACAATTGGTCAAATATTTAACTATTTATGTACAAGCGATCCTGAAGTGAAAAACAGGTTAGGGAGAAAGCACTACGTTCCAGCTCAACTGGATGGTGAGAAGGGCTTTGGAGCTTGAGGACTAAACCATGCTACAGACACGGCAGTAAGTACAGATCTATGGACTATGTTCAAGGACTGTCAAAAAACTTCAACTGAAAAATACTTCCTATAAAAGGAGCAGAAGAAATTGTTTCCATTTCCATAAGCAACAAAACATAATCAACCTATTGAGTAAAACCACATCCTCCATGCTAGCTGCCAAGTCTATGTTCTTGAAACAGAAGTTATTAAAGGCTCTGTAAAAGTTTTTTGAATACTTACATTTTCGATTTATTAAATTATTTTAGACTGATTTCCAAAATGTTGGAGTGGAACTGTTTTTACATTATAAGGAATATATAAATCTTTGTTTCAATTAAATTGGCATACTCTTTGCTATGTGACCACGTAAGGCTGCCCGAGCTCCACTTCTAATAAATTAAGGATGATGTTAGCTGTAACAAAGTGTGATAAGAGCTAAGCTACTTCAAGCAACTTTCAAAAAACATCAAGGTATTTCAGTAATAAAAAGCTTAATACACAACTCTAGGGAACAGGCAAATGCTGAAGCATCAGAAGGATCTGGAATAGGGTAAAAAGAGCAAAGAATAGATGGAAACTTTGGGCCTGTCTCTCTTCTCACTTAGAATAGCAGAAAAGACAGCTATTTTTACAGTAAATGTGCTGTGAAACTCAAGTCAGTCAGAAGACAAATGGGGCTTTTCCAACAACTAACAAACAGTCCAGCTGTTTTGTCCCCTTCAGGCATAAGACAGATTTAACATAAAAGCCTTCAAGCAGGAAAAATGAGGAAAGAAAACAGCGCTGGAGCTCCAACAGAGCTGTAGGCAATCAGAAATCCTGCATTATAAATCCTTAAGTAAACAGATACACCCATTATCTTCAGCATCCTTTTTTTTTTTCTGCAACACCTTGCACCCACAAGAACTTACTCAACTTATTCAGCTGTGCTATCATTATTTTCACTCTACTCAGCATTTCACTTGTACTTATGAAAGCAGATTAAAAAAAGCAATAAATGCAGCTCACAGAAAATATGCTGGCAGTAACCTGGAATGGATATGGAACAGGTTCATTTTGTAACCTGAAACTCAAGTCAAATTTTGAAAGGTAGAGGGAATTTCACTTAAGAACGATCTTGTTAAATATCATTTAAACAGTTAACTTCTCTGAAATGAGAAAGACTACAATTCATGACAGATGTTCTAGACACCAGCATGCAGCAGATCTAATAACACTGTGAGGCTACTGAAAAACACCTACCTGGTGGAAATGCGGCTGAACACAGCATTAAAGTTATTGCAGCTAAGAGAAAATAGAACCCCAGAGGCAGAATTACGTAGTTCAGCTGCATGCTGGTTCCCTTCACGGTAAGTGTGGATGAAGTGGCAGATTTCTGGCAGCAACTGTTTTACCAGCATGGTCTCGTCTAGTCGCATGGTATCCTTTGGTTGCTAAAAAGAAACATTCAGTATTTCATGAAATTCTGGTTTTTGTAGCTTTGGAGGCAAAAAAATGGAGCATCTGCCACTAGTAGGCACAGGACCTGAACCTAAACTTCTAATCCCTCCTGCAGGCTACCACAGTGTCAGATGTCTACAGAGAGGGTTCTTTCCACGTGGACGATGACCCGTATCATTCAAACCTTCTTACATTTTCAGTTAAGTCTCCAGAATACGCAGGACACCAAGCTGATCAACGTCATCAAGTATCAAGCAAAATATCAAACTATTTTTTGAAGTAAAACACATTTCCGTTTCGAGGAATGCACCCTGTTGGTCTGTCTCAAGTATGAGCAGTCGAGCATTGGCTATCTCGGCTCTGAACGGAAGCTCAAAGGCTGGAGACCCATCCCTACCTCTCTTTTGGGCAGCATTCTAACCGCTGCATTTTGACAGCAAATATTTTACATTAAAAAAATGAACCAGAAAGAAAGGTGCTTCTCCCTTGCTCTTGCCTGGGATTGCTCTACATGACTTAAAAATGGCTTAACTTTCCTTCAATAGAAAAATCTAATTTTTGCCATTTTGCACAGCATGAGGCATAAGGAAACTATTTACAGAAGAATTCAAAGTGAAACTTTGCTCTACTAAGAGCAAGTTTTAACAGAAGGGTCAGCATTAAAGCTTTCTAAAATTCTACCAATGAATTTACCATAGGGAATTGGGAAGTTTCAGAGACTCCCACTTAGCTGACCCGAGTCCTGTTGCCATGAGAACTTGATGAAACATTGAGCAAGAACAGCGAGCAAGAAATCTGAAGATATCACAGAACACAACGCTCTTTGTATAGAACTTTGGCTCAGTCTTATTAAACATATACTGGCTCAACTTGGTCTCATTTGAATTGACAAAGCAAGAAGCATTCGGTGCAATTTTATGCTGTTCAAGAATCATCATCTATCAGGAAAAACACCACTAACGTTTCAAACAATAAGCATGTAAGAAATATTTTTAAATAATTGATTTCTGAAGTTAAAACAGTTTTTCTGACTCACTGCATCAAAGACACCAAAAGTGCCAAAAAGAGGTATTCACCTCAGCTGTAAAAGCTGAAAGTTATTCTGGAAAATGTATTTACCTGGATCTTTTGTGAATTTAGAAGAATCCACAATTATTCAGACTGGTTTAATACTGTAATATAAGATATGCTGCTTGACGAATCTAACCATAATAAGGTCACTACCTTATAAAGAACCAACCTTCAAGAACTGCTGCAGGGAAACAGCAAAGAGCTTAGATGATTTCATGAAATTCATCCAGGAATACAGCTTTTAAAAAAAAAATAAAATAAAATTCCTTTCTTGTTAAAGGAATAAACCATTGCAAGCTTTGCTCCCAGTGAAGTTTGGCTTTGCAATTACCGGGTTTAGCACAGTAAGTTGTACAACTGTTTACATCCCAAAGGCAACAGCAAAGGGCCTCGCAGCACAGCTCTGATTGGAAACCCCAGGACTAGACTCCCAGTGGAAGTCTGGACACAGTTAACTAATGTAATCTAGGAAACACCTGCAAAAGTAATCTTTACAACAGTGATAGCAAAGTCTCTGCTGTATATACATGTACACGAAAAAATACTTCAACAAAGTTTTAAGAAATTCAAAGAAAAATCAACACTGTATGCAGAAAACTTAGCAGCATAACATACTCGTACTGAATTATTCTCTACTTTTAACATGATTTACTATCCCATTACTCTTTCTGTTTAAATCGTGAGATGAAAATGTTTTAACGCATCTATTGAAAAAGTAATGAGCAAAATACGCCACAAGCATTCAAAGCCTACAAAACCTTAGCGAAGCTTCATAACCAACCTAATTCTTCATTTCAGTTTGTGCCTTCCCTCACTCCAGTTCTCACATGCCTCTGAGCAGAGCTGTCCAGTTGTCTGCAATTCTTTTTAACAACTTATTAAAAGAAAATCATTATTTATAACTCCACAAATTAGTTGAGTAGTGGGAAGAACAACTTCAGAAGTTTACTTTATTTAGCTGAAAAAAAGATCACTGATTTTAGCAAGAAAAAAGCACCCCACAAATCCTTAATTTATCGATTATATCCGCTACTTGTATTTATAGGAAGTTTTAGTATTTTTTAAATGGCACTACTCCTACTTTGCTCTAAAGCAGATGAGTTTTAACTTTAGTACCAGCAATAATAGATACACCAGCATTTGACTTGTACTAACTCATTTGATGCAACTTAGCAATTGCTTATGCAAGCCTACTCACCCCTGCCAGACATTTTTCCAGTGTATCCAAGATAATCAGTTGAGATAGATATAAATTCTTTTCAGCAGTTTCTCCAAATATTCGCTAGAAGTAGAAAGAACATGGATTCATCTGAGACACGGAAATTTGACTTGTAACGCATTAACGTAACAAAATGGCACAATAAGTTATGGCTCCTTTACTGCTCTGGTTTTAAGTTTAGAAATAAAGCCGGCAAAAATTAGATTAAAACAGGAATTAAAACCTTATCGCTGAAGACATATCTCTGTCCAGTCTGCAATGCCAAATCTAACAAGGAGCAGTTACCCCAAAGCGGGACTGGAGGTATGCTGCAGCCCCCCACCGTCATCAGGTCTATCAGTTCTTCAGCAATGAAGGTTACACCTCTTCAGAAACTATTTTGGTATCAATTACTGCTGACGCTTTTCCAATTACGTACTGCACTGCCAACATCTTAACAGAAATGATGTTACAGCAAACCCCTAGCGCCGAGCTTATCAGAGCGTTGGAGAATTCAGCACAGACCACAGGAAGAAACACACGAGACCCTCCGAGAAGAGGCCACACTTCGGACAGAGGATGAAGGCACAGCTCCTCCAGGTGTTTAGGCTAGCACTCAGCTTTAGTGCCAACAATAGCGACTAGTTCCAGCAATATTAAGACAGCAAAATAAAGCAGAAAATATTTAGCCAAAAATATGTTGGTACTCCTGCCTACACAGGGAGCAGATGTAGAAGTCACCCAGAGGAAGTTGTCTTTTAAACCACGGGAGAGGTTTGCTCAGCTAAGTCTGTTCCAGCAGAGTGCAACCCCTCAAGACTTTTTCTAAACTACGATGATTATGACAGTCGATTGGTCTGTTTTGTTTCAGCTATACAAATCCTTCAGAAATATTGCTGATTCACACAGCAGCTCAGTCCAAACACTGACATTTTTAGTTAGGTCTTTCCGCTCAAAATCGATGTATCATGTACCGAAACTGATTTTAAATGTTTCGTTTTCTCATTTATCAGACAATCATCTTGCACATGAACACATTCCTTCAGGACTACGGAGTTTAACTAGAATAAATTCTCTCTCAAAAGGAATTATAGGCAGCTTCAAGCAGCCCAACACCCCTCGCAGTAGGGCAACTGATTTTCTGATTTTATCAATCCTTTGTAGTGTTTTAGCAGATGTACATCTCTATACAACTGATATCCAAAGGGCCTCACTGCAAGCTATCTTACTAAAGCCATAAAAAAAAGAAGTGCTGCTGGAGTTTGGCCAGCTCTGTTACCTGTTTGTGGAGATTCCACATGATCACAAGTCACACGGCTTCAAAACTCAATGAATTAAACTTTTCTCATGACAAATGCAAAACCAGACCTTCCATAAAAACATGAATTCAAACTGCATCTTCTACCTCATAGAGGATTCCTACACCTTCCATTTACCCAACTTCATGGCAACAGTTATTTTTCTGGAGTCAACACTCTGAACATCCACATTCATTTTTTTTCTTTTCTAGGTTTCTCTTCTCTTTGGTTCCATCGAGATCTATTTTAAATTACAGTTTTAGTGATGCTGATGAGTCAAATATTTTGATGGATTTCAGGAATCATTTTATGGTTCCCTTGGAGGCAGAAGAGAAAACCAGTATGCAGAAGGAAACCATCTACTAAGGCAACTGGCTCTAAAGATTTCTCTTTGAGAACCTGCAGAAAAATCACCTTGAATCTCATCCCTTCACACCAGTCTACTGCCCTCAAGTATCGACATTAAGTGGTTTAATGAGAAGCTGCGATCCATATCAAACAATAAACGGAGAGATGTGGATCACTCCCACACATTCTTCATTCATTTTTCTTACTGACTAGCCAGGCATCCCTTTGGAGCTATGAGTCTACAGTGCCAGTCTTAGGCTGTTTTCAAAGATTTTTCTTCCAAGGTTCTGACTGAAATTCATCTGGTTGTTAAAATACATATACATATTTTATATATATACACGCACAAATGCTAAAACATCTAAACAGCCTGGAAAATTCAAATTGCACTAGGTTTTAAATCCTTTTCCCTTATTTTTCTCTTTTTCCTTTCCCAAAACAATTCCTGGCAGGACAGATGAGGGGGGGAGAAAGACCTCCTGGTGCCCTGCTGGGCTCCTGCCCTACAGACATTGCTAGCACTGCTCCCCAGAGAACGGAGCACCTCTCCCTGCACGGCCAACATCCCCCCAAGCGCCCCGGCAGCAGCTCGTGCTCCTGCACCTGAACGGGGCTGGAGCCAGCAGGGACCTCCAGGTTCCCACCCCGGGCTGGCCACGCGCCTCCCCCTCTCCCACCACCTTCCTTCAGATCTCTCTGCCACAACTGTCCCATCGCCTTCACACGAAACACAGCCCAGTGCTGCTGGTGAACTTCAGCACATGAGGATGAAAAGAAAATAATTAAGTGTAAAAGGCGAGCAACAATCGGACTAAATTTCGCGTGACTCTCTGCAGATTGTGTAATACGAATAAGTAACAACCGTTTTGAAAAAGATCACCCAACAACCCAAAATGAGAAAACTTACCATGTTATTAACATTTTTTAAGATATTAGTGAGACCACTGATGACCAGGGAAAACTTGTATTTGGAAATGTTTATGAGACATTCCTTGTTGTGCTCCGTACTGACTTTGGTGTGGGTGTTCTGCTGGCTGGCCTTTATTGGAAGCTACAAAGAGAGATAAATATTATAAGCTTTTTTACATTGGAATTTACATCTTTAAAGATGGGTTAACATTTTTTGAGATACCAGAGACAACCTTGAAAAACATTCTTCAAGAGACAAACACATTGATTATTTCATTTTCTCTACATTCATCTTTCTATTAGTTATCCATAAAACAAAAGTTCACCTGTTCCTTTTTCTGAATTGAAACTAAATCTCTGTTTTGTGATAAATTTTCTACAAACCAAATGTCAAAGCAATCAAAAGAGCAGAAAAATGTAAGATAGAATTCTAAGAAACATCTATTCCAAAAATTGGCTTGTTAAATACCAAAAATCTTCACAAGGCTAATACTTCAAAGAAAAAAAAACCTGTGTCCCGAAACCTGCCAGGAGGTAAAATCCCAGTAGCTCACAGAGCGGGCGCGCTGGAAGGTGGCAGCAGGTCCCCGCACCAGCACCCACCGCCAGCAGGTCTCAGCCTCAAACACGCTTTGGGCACTCAGGAGCCAAACACAACTGTGAGCCCCACCTCACCTGCTCTTGCCCACCCCAGGGGGAAAAACTACCCGAGACGCATCTTTTCCAGGCATGTTAAGACTCGGAACGCCTGCCCAAACCCGAGATGTTTCTCCTGGTGCGTGAACACTAGGCACTTTGTTTCATGCTGTACCCAAATTCTTCAAGGGTCACAATCAAGTCACTTCCCCTGCACGCTCCCTGCTGGAGTCGGCCCCTTACAAACCACCACGCGAAAATGTGAGAACCGATTCCTCGGAGAAGTTAATTTTACTGAGGAACTGTATTTTCAAAAAGGAAATAAATGTGGGAATGGAAAAGGAATCGGTATTACCACCTCTTTTTATAATTCACGTGTGCCGTTTGTATTCTGAATCGTGACCTAGGAATTCACTATCTATAGAAACTTTGCTATAACAAGTTTTAACTAATTTAGACTAGAATTCTCAATATACGTTTATTCTGAAAGACACTGATAGCTCAACGTAAATGCCACGATATACTATTTTTGCATTAGGAAGGGTATCTTTAAAAAAAAAAAAAAGATAATTTAAGAGAGGTTCAAAGGAGGATTCCAAGAAATTACAGTCAGTTTTACAGCTGCTAAATGCTTACGGAGTAACCTTCCAGGCTGGGGAACTCCGCAGACTCGGTGAGGGTACTGTCCGTGCTGTCACCCAGCTGAACTGCTGTCAGCAGCCACGAACACCTCTGCCAGCCACTGAACACCACTGTCTTCGCCAAGAAAAGTTTACAGGTCCAAACTTAAAATCCCAGGTGAATTGTATTAAAGAACCCCAAACTTGGAACTTTTTTTTTTTCCAAGTTTTGACTGCATCATTAGATAGACATCTTCCGTTTGTAGGGAAATGGATCTCTCTAATATCGAGTTTTTATGCCCAAGGGTAATTTCCTCTCCATATAAACCATGGGTTGGGTTGGGTTGTAGTATCGGTTCTCTTGGTACCACCGACTAGGATCCTGAAGGAAATCAGTTGGTTTTTTCCCCAAGAGAACGGCTGACTCTGAAAACGACCGCAGTGCCACGCTAGACCCCAGCAGAGACCCCAGAGCAGCCGAAGGGCCCAGAGGAAGGCTCGCTCGCCTCAGACAGCGCCTTCGGGATCTCCAGCACCGAGCCCTGCACCCCGGGACACCCCTCCCCAGGGCCGGGCGTTCTCGCTGCACAACCTCCTACAGCAACAAGCTCCACGGGGCAACCAAGGTAATTTCCACCTCATTTTGTAACTCTTGCAAGTGTTCAGATTGTAATGCTTTCAGCGAGCGCCATGCATTCCAACGTGTTCATTTTAAAACTGGAAAAAGCAGAACAAACAGCGTTTATGACTCAAGCTTTGTTTTCATTGTTGGATGTTATTTTTACAATACATTTTTGGAAGTCGTTAGTGGAAGATAGATACATTTAATTAAAAATTTCACCATTACTAGTACTTTTTATTTGAATTTTCAAGTCTCCGTGCTGACAACAGCAGAAAAGCTCAATACCAGAGTGCTGAAACACTTCAGAAGTGCCTCTCAAAGAAATTGTGTCATAGATCTAGTTCTGTATGCTTCCATGCTATAGAAACATCATATCACAGGCTTCTGGAGCTTCCTGCCACAACAGCCGCTGCAACAAGGTCACCCAGAAGTAAAATGGCTTTTTATACTACCATTTAAAATAGGAAACTATATAAAAAGGAAATAATTAGCACTGTTGTTTTGGGATTTTTTTATTTCTCAGCTATTTCCTTTGCGCACCCTGACACGCTGGAGCCCTGTACGTCTCCCACTGGAACGCAGTGCCAGGATCAAACAGAAACTCTTTAACTTCGATACAAATAACCATCAATCTGAACGTTACAAGAGAAAAAAGAAGAAAAGAAAGAAAAAAGAAAAAAAAAAGTTCAAATTTTACTTTCATTGCCTTTGATTTTATTTTAGAAAAGAAGAAAGACACAAATGGATTCCTGTATAGCTTTTATTTGAACTAGGGACAGAAATTAAAGCAAAGCTTAAGTATAACTGGAGCTTCAAACTGTGAACACGTGCACCATTTTGAACTCATCTCAGTTTAGCAAAGGGACAGTCTGCTACTCCAATTCAGCTGTTTTGATGGCTGGAATGGGAGCAACAGTCAACAGCCTTGTAACTCCACTGGTGCACGAACCCCGCACCCCGAGGCACGCTGCCACACACCCTCTCTCTAACCCAGCCTGGCTACGTCTCAGTAAGGTGTCAGATGAGCTACGGAGGACAGGAAGCAACAGCATTTCGGTCTATCATTTGCCTTATTTGATGTAGCAGACAAAATAGGTAGATGAAACCTGGAATTTTTCCAACGATCAAATTTGAAATCTTTTAAGATCGATAAAAAAAGAACACTGCTGCAAAAGACAGGGAGAAGCCATTAGGTAGCTGAGCCTGCGGCTGCACTAACACAGCACACAACCCAGCACCCCCCGAGTGCAGGACACGAGTCACCTCCCGTACCAGGTATCGCTGAAACAACTAGAGAGGCAAATCCCTGTGAGATGAAACATCAAAGGATCTACCGGCTTACACCTGCCACGCAAGCTCCCCAGTTGTTAGAACACATCTTCTGGTCACACAGACAGTTTACAGTCAAACTCTGTCTCTCAAAATCCATTTCTGACTTGAGTCTAAGGAGCCGTGCTGACCTGCCCACAGCTTCTCCCGCATCCACCACTGACAGTGCTGAACCATTCTCACACGCGTTACTAACGCAGAGATAACGCAGCACTACTGGGGGGGGAAAAAAGCAACCCAGATCATACGAGATTATTATTTTCTTTGCATTTCCAAAAGACATGCAATAACAGATAGACCTTAGAAGCAGAGCTCCGAACTGCACACCCTCAGGAAGACAGGATCGCTAAAACTAATCCAGCTATTAAGATATTTTAAAAAACCATCAGTATTACCCAAAGGTGCAAATATCTCTCTCAACTTGCCGAAGTAAAATTAAATTCTTCCATCTTAGTGAAAAAGGTAAGTTAAATCGCTAATCACAAGTATTATTATGAAAAAATAGTATCATTTATGAAAAAAATGACGAGGCCAACTCACAGATACCCATGGTCAGCTGCTAGCATCTTAGTAAACTGTACTAAAACAGCACTTCAAAAGCTTTTTCAACACACAGGTTTGGCATCTGAAAAACCACCGCCCCTAAGCATTAACATGACACATGTTATTAACCATTTTACAACAGTGTCTGGCAGTGTTCTTCTGTCTACAGCAACATCCAGGTCTGCAATCCCTCTGAAGAGAGAAATGGCAAAGGTTTTCCTATGCCTCATCACTCCTGCCTATCTCTTCCTCCAGATAAAAGCATTTCAATCCCTTCAGACTTAAGAGACAATAACTTTGCAGATTTTCTTTTTTAAAAAAAAGGCAAATACTTGCTTATTACAGAGGAAAAAGGGAAAAAAAAAAGTCTTTACAGTTGAATTATAAAAACTGGCTTTGAAGTAAGTGCCACCACAGAACTGCAAAGCTGTTTAAGAAGTGGAAAGCACTGTGCTAGCTGCTAGCATGCAAGGCTGTCCTGTCTCTGGAAGTGGCCTCAGTTTAGAGACTGATGTGCCTTCATCCAGAAATGGTCAGTTAAGGAACCCTTCTCTGATCACAGATGTTAGTAATTAAGAAAAATGGGTGTTTTACACGTCTGTAGAAGAGATGAGCACCTGTTTCAGGCATCCTCTAGTCTGATGCAATTAGGTACAATCTTCTGCTAAATGTACATGGACATTGATTTGAAACTACCCCTAACAGGTTTGAAGGTCTGCAAGACATCCCTGTCTGTGGAGAAAGGCTAACGTTAAGCGATGGATTCTTTATCACCTGTAATTAACGAACACAAAGTTTAATCTTCTCTACCATTAGTAAAAGACCATATTTAATGTTCTTATTTTCAGAGGCTACGGAGCAAGTGTAAGTGCTTTATCACTTCAAACAAAGTCACTATTTCAACTTCTTTGTGCAAGACACAACTTTGCAGACACTAAGAATTCAAAACCTGACAGATAAACCCAGTCTGCCTCAGGATGAGAGCTGCTGCAGTCACTGTCCCAACAAACCCCTTACTACAGCCAGCCGTTGTGAGCAGCCAGGCACGGGCACTCCCCAGCTCAGCACCTGCAAGACTCAGCTCCACCGTGGCGGCACGGCAGAGCCCTCGGCGAGGTCTGCAGCGCTGTCGGAGAGGGGAAGGTGGGAGACCAGCCCAGGGGAAACTCTCCTCTTGTCTGTAACGGGCTCCCCGTGTTCAGTAAGCAGCCCGAGAGCTCTGAGTACATCTGAGCCTTGTGCCTTTGGTTCAGATTCAGGAGAAAGTAACAAACGTAACATCCAAAAAAAAAATCCCTAGTGCTATCCTTAACAGCATAGAAACCTACCCAGCTTTTTCCCTTTCAAATAATCTCTTGGAACTTCTTCAGTAGCCTGTAACACACAGATGTACTGGTGAGAGACAGAAAACATCCACAGCACCACTCCTTCCTCAGCATCAGTGCTGCCAGAACCAGGTACAAATCTCTTTCAAAACCAACAGGCATCTTCCAACTACAAACGTGCACAGCAACACCTCCTAAAGAGGCATTATTTAGCAAAAGAACCTCACAACTGAGCCTTCAGAAGAACAGGGAACTCTAAAAATATTTTATATAGGTTGCTCTAAAAAAATACTATTTTCAAAAGGTTAACTAAAAGTTTGTGCTGCAAACAAAGGCGTATTTACCCACAGCATTAACAGAAACTGCTGTGCTGAATAAGAAAGAACCATCAAATCCTCTGGATGCTTTTCAGCAGCTCATTAAGGGACTCGGGTAACATCTGTTGCACATGGGGCATTCCCTTATCTGTGTCCAGTGTAGCACTGCCTTTGAAACACACCACACACGCTCGTTTAGAAAAATAAGATCAAAGCTGCCTCAGGTTTATGTTAGAGAAAAATGAAATAGCACGCTTTGTGCTCAAGAGCTGTGTCATAGTTTGTCTCTGTTCTCGCTCCTATGGAAATCCATTTCAGACCAGAGCAGTTTTGGAAAAAAGTTCCATCTTCTGCACAGAGCAGCCCTACCTTACCGCAGCAGATCCCTTCTCACCTGGGGAGCCAGCGGCACAACTCACGGAAATAGTTCAAAATGCATCTTATTGCTACGAGGGATTTCTTAACAAGCCAAGATGCAAAAGAGCGATGGGACACACCGAGCTGGTACTGGCAGCCGGTGCCTTTCAGGTCTCTGGGTATAGATTTCAAGTGCTGCAGAGATAATCAACAGGAAAAGGGAATGTTTGCTTTAATTTATTGCCCTTTAATGAAATTAAGAATCGAATATTCCTACTGCCTTGCAGTTTTTACTAAATCTTCCTTAACTGAAAGCAATCATAGCTTATAAACTGGGGAGCCTAAAACATAATCCACAGAATAAAGGGCTTCTCTCCTAAAGCATATCGTAATCGCCAAGTCACCACAAGTTTATACAGGATTAATACCTTTTTTTATCTGATAGTTTTAGAAGTCTACATTTAAATGGTTTAGGCAGCGAGGCCTCTCTGGCTATTAGAACTATTTCACTCCTGTATCACCCTTCCCATGATTTCAGCTTGCAACACATTAAAAAATACTATAAAAATACAGGGCATAAAACTGTAAGAGAACATTTCCATAGGAAAAAAGATATAATTATATTTTACAAAGACCTGATTATGTCTGAAATCACAGGGAGTTTGACTGAAACACAGCCTAGCCTCTTCGTGCTGCTGCAGACTAATTCTAGTGTGACCGCTGAAAGTTTTGAAAAATATAGTAACTAGTACTACATACAAATCCAGTCAAGAGATTTCGTAGGTGCTAGGTAGGAACTGTGATCTACCCTCACAGGTACCACCAACGGGTTCCTTCTGCACCAGCTGAAACCCTCGGGGAGCCCGGAGCGGAGTGCTGCAGCAGTTGTGGTCTCAGAAGTGAGCGCAGCTGGACAAGACTGGCAGAATATTTGAAAAATGTATTCAGCGAGCCAGTCATTGGTTAATTCATAAAACTACGCTTGCCAGTCATTTCAGGCGCACAGAATGGTACGTACAAAAGCAGATTTTGGTTAAAGCAGCATTTATAACAATAAACAAGAGTAGACGAGAACAGACTGGTTTGCGCTGATTTTTCTTGTTTTCAATACAGATTAGCATTCTCTCCATTTGTTGTTTCATCTGTCTGAAAATGAATTCAAGCACTTAAATGAATGAAAAGCCTGTCTACATCTATAAATTTGGGTAAAAGATGGTTACGTTTTCCTCCTCTGTAAAGGAAGAAACCTTGACAAATTTTGTCTTCTCCCGCACAGAAAAATAACAACAACCACCCACAACAAACCCAGGCTGCCCCTCCTTAGCCAAACACACCAATGATACAGCAAGGAGCAGCTCCCCAGTGCTGAATCAAGAGGTCCTGCGTTTAGAAGGGCAGACATAGAGCAAAAACTCAAAAACGCATTATCACCACTAAAATAACGTACGTATACTCGGTACACTCTCATGGAGCATGAACTTAATGCTCAAACGAGCATCCTGAAAGGTAACAGGCACGCGACTACCCAACGCGGACACAAGGGAAGGAGGTACAAGCAGTACACGAATATCAGAACTGACTGACAACGCACTGAGGAGTGGCGACAGAGTCACAATAACCTTGCAGTTGGGTATTCTGTTCAGAACAGTCACCTTTCCCCTGCGAAGATCACTGTCAGATAGGCAAGGCGGAGGAAACGATGTATTAAAAGCAAACTGACAAAATTAGGAGCCCCGTGTTGAAATTAATTAATGAGATCAAACTTCTCACCAAAAAAGTAGAGATCATCCTTGCTTCACTGCTTCATTTGCTTGATGATACTTTTTTTTTTTTTTTAAATGCACTGGTTAAACAAAAATATGCAATAAACTATTCAAAGTTCTGTAAATATCACCTATCACACAGGCCACACTATGACTACCACAGTCAATACCGTATTTGATGTATCTTGTCCCTGCAGCTCCAATATTTTAGTGTCTCTAAGATCAGAAGAGCTTTCTCCCTATCAAGGAAGGATTCCTCCCATACACCTATCTGCAATTATCCCATGAAATGTATATAAAAATAATTCTGTTGAAAAAGCTGAAGTTCTTAACTCCTAACAGATGTTGGCAAGCCCAATTCCACAATATACATAACAAAGCAAACGACAAAGCCTAGGGCCTTTTAACACCAGTACACAAAGAAACATTTTCTTGCATTATTGGGAGCATAATCAGTACCATGCTTTTTAAGCTTATGGAAAAAATGATCTATGACTCAAGATAAGGGGGGGGGGGAATAAGTTAACTATGCAAATATGCCTAAAATGTATTGGAAAAATCTGCATCATTTTAACGTTAAAAGACAAAGTTTGATATTTTCCTTTTTAAAATAAACTTATTTCACAGCAGCTTTAATATAAATGTAAAAAGGAACAGCTTATTTTTATTCGCCTAGGCCACAATCTGTGGGTTGTTAAAAGCCAAGCATCGCAGAGGGACACAGGATTACGAGGCAGGTGAACAAAATTCCACCTATAGCACCAGCTTAATGTTTCTGATAGATGTTACCCTGAACAGGGTCTCACAGAGCTGTGTCTTGTGTGACACAAAGGCTGTACTCGCACTATAGCAAAATGAGAGAGACAACACAGAAACCGATCATCCAGCCCAAACTGAGCTCACTCTTACACATCAGGAAGGCATCCTGGGAGGAAAAATGCAGAGTCTAAGCACTAAGCTCTGCCCCACTGAGAAAGTCATGTCACCTAATCCCAGTAAGCAGTTCCTGCATGTGGATCACAGACATACAAAGTCTAAGACCAACAAATCCCTCTTCCTTCCATTCAGAAGATGCTTCTCCAAACTACTAGCGCTGACTTTTGTAAAGAGAAATAAATCTCCGTCACTGTAACACCACTGCTTAGAAAACCCTCTGCACCCCATACAACTGTGCTCCCAGTGACGTGGATGAAATTTCACCCTGACAGGCACCGCTATGCCGGGGGGAACAAGGTGGGATTGCCCGAGCAGTTTCACGTCGTCCTCCTTAAACTCAGTCTTGAAGCTTCACCTCCTTTCTGATGAGCAAGATGATGTAAAGCGAGGAAGTGAATTTCGCAGGAATGTCTACGGAAAGCGCACACACTTTTGGAAGAGGTGGGGGAGCAGAAGCGGAGCAGAACGGGGCATCTCCCCCCGCCCCCCCCGGCGCTCCCTGTCCAGAGCTGACCGGTACCGCCGCCGCATTGCCCGGCACGGGGGAGGCCGCTCCGCCCCCCAGACCGGGACCCCCCCCTCCAGAAAAAGGTGGGAAGGGGCAGGTCGGCGGGCAGGGGCAGCGGAGCGGCAGGAGCAGCCGGCCCCACCCAGCCACCC